TAGACTTTTCGTTCATAAGATTTTGGCATAAGACTTAAAAAAAAACGTGGTGCCATTTGAAGTAGAATAGTATTCGAATCCCGTTGAGCACCAAACATTTAAAACGATCAATTAAACAACGTTTTTTGCCCTCTGAAATAATAGATTCTTTATCAATATGGCTACAAAAATTCTTCTAATTGCTCTGAATATTATCCAGTTTGCATGAAATTCGCCACTATTCCCAAAAGTTATTCCTGTGCTATAAATACGAAGAGTGTGAGCGCAGTTTTTTGAAGATATTTATTAAATATGTGGAACAACTCCATATACGAATAATATTGCCTACACAAGAAGCTTAACCTCCTCACAAGCAGATCGAATCAAAATAGGACTAAGAAGACGAATCAACTTCATTCCTAAAAAGAGGATTCCTGATTGCCGTCTTTAAATATTTGTTTAAAAAGCAGAATTACAAATTGACACTGGGAAAAAAAGGATGTATTGAGATAGTCATAATTGAGAGAAAAATTGATTAATGAATAGCAAACAAAATGCACTAGATTTTAGGTACAAAACAGAGAAAAGGGAACCAATATCAAGCGCAATAGGAATTCTACATCGAAATCTAGTTTTCTGTCATTTACTTTTCAAAACCAACTTGTGAATGAACACAAATTTGTGTGCAAATTATTTGCATTGTCTGCCCATAGCCTTAGAACCGAACTTCTAATTGCAAAATTGGCTAAAATTTTAGTTGTAGAAGAAAAAAGAAACGAAAAAATAAAATCAAATTGAAGCGCATTCTGTATACAAATTACAAAACAGTTTGCTATTGCTGTTGTTGTTGTGGTTGTTAATATTGTCGGCATTGTAGTTGTTGCTGTTGTTGCTGTTGTTGTAACAGTTGCCTCCATAAAAACATATGACACCATTTTGATGAACGAGCCGTGCCGTTCCGAGCCGAGCCGGGTTGGGCCGTGCTGGTCGCGCTTTTGTCGCATTTGGCATGCCAAATTATGCATGGAATAGATGGTCGTGTTGACACTTCCAACTTGCGGCTTTCCACCTCCTCTCCATGTACGAGTACGGCAGACAGATCGGACAAGTTGAAAGTGACAGCCGCTGGCCTCACCACCTAGTTGGAGAGCGGAGGTGAACAGAGAACAAAAAAAAAAAAAAAAACATGAGAAGGGAATACAACACCGCCCTAATCGGACTTGTCATTTTTGCATCACAACAAACGCTTCAAAACCGGGTCCAGGGTAGTCGGGGGTTGCGCGCATTGTTGGGCCAATTGTCGAAATCAAAATCTAAAATGCGACTACAACCAGACACACACACACAAAAGTTGGTTTTTTCCTTTTCATTCTTAACTAGCATCAATTGGGTTTGTAATTTGAAACGTTGTGTGCCCCTCGCAACGCAACTGAGGGTTGAGGGGTGGTGGCAACCCTGCCACTGTTGTGTTCTACTCGTACCTGTGCGTGAATGCCGCGACCACATCAAGAGTTACTTTGGGAAGTAAATCATTGGCGTACATCGGTAAATACATATAGTTCCTAATGGCTCGATAGTTTTGATAACGCCCATCATCGAGTGCTACTAAATAGCTGACGTGCTGTTCAAACTGCCAAATAATTTGCACACAAATGTTTCACAATTGAAACTAATTAGACTTTAAACTTCGAGCATTACTTTTCAAATACTTATGAAATAGTACATTCTAGGTAAAGCCTTTGGGGCATTACTTTTCAAATACTTATGAAATAGTACTTGTACATTCTAGATAAAGCCTTTGGATCAAGAAGTAATACGAAGTTGTTGAAAATTGTTTGTTCAAAACCGGCTGACCGCTGCGGTCTCATTAGCCGGCCACTGTACCGCCAAAGCTGTTAAGAAACGTTTGCAATAAATGACCAAAATCTGAAGATAATTCAAATATAGTCAGATATAATAATAGCGCCTGAAACTATCTCAAAGTGGATAGAGCCGCTCGTTTATATCGCGCCTCTTGCTATTACAACTGAAGATGAAATCGTGAGCCCAGCTGCCTGACTTCGGACCAAATTCCGAGTAATCAAATAGAGGAAATACCCAGACAATATAGGCGAAAGTAGTGTGGTTATCTGGTATTTCAGTGCCAGACCAACTACAAATGTATCGCAAAAAAGTCAATGAAATTGAATTAATTATATTTTTATCTTTAATTATTTCAGTACTCTAATTTAACTTAAGTTTCATCTCAACTTCTTTCTTGTTGGGGCGTCAAATTCTATATTAATATGATTATAGGCTTTTTTTAATATTTAATATTATATATTTAATTTGTATTGATTTTTTTACATCGACAGCTTTGCTTGTTGTTTAAGTATTTTAATTTAACTTCAATTTCATATCAATTTCTTTCTTGTAAGGTCTAATAACGACTGACGAGTTGTGGCGTCAGATTCTATATTAGATATTATCATAGGCCTTTTTTTTATAGGCTTTTTTTAATATTTAATATTATTTATTTAAAGTTCGCTATTGGATTGATTTTTTTTACATCGGAAGCTTTGTTTGTTGATGGAATAAATAAATGAAATATGTAAATAAATGTATGAAATATATGAAATATATGAAGTATATGAAATATATGAAATACATGAAATATAAATGAAGCGCGATGAACTCGATTAAAAGCATCACGAGCTAAACTGTTGTTCAACTATTGCGGGTCTAACTACTTATCTCCAATATATCTAATAATACTATCGGTTTCTTCACAGATTCCTTTCGTTGTGAAATTTCTATTATTATATTTCTATACCAATAGGCTTCATTTTATAAACTTTATTACTCACGTCTTATTATCGTCTCTTCATTTGTAACTTATTTATTTATTACCTCTTACATTAAGTACCATTTATTTATGACTAATAAATATCTGGGTAGCTGCAACCAACAACTATTACTCAGGAGTCAGGAGTGGAATGGCTTCTATTTTTCAAATATTTAGCTAAGCAAATCGTGTAAAAATTTGTTTCAAAAAAGATATATTTAAATCTGCAGAGCCCCTACGCCACATTAAAGATACTCGAAGGGGAGAAAACTTCCCCTCAAGTAGTGATGTTCGCGAAAAATTGGCCAAAACTATTTTGGGTGGTCCTCCTCCACGCATATACTGTGGCTCGGCGCTGGCTCGAGAATGAAGGCGCTTCCTCGCTGGCGGAAGTGTCCGCCCACTTCCGGTGACTGACCCAATGGATGGCTGTCCTGCGAAACGTGCGTAACTAAAACTTCCAGTGCTGATGCGGCATATCAGCAACAGAAGCGGCCGAGCTATGCTGGCGTCCTGGCATCCTGGCATCCTGACGTCGGCAGCGCAGTGCACGTGTAAAATGACGGCCACGTGACCGCACGTGTCAGCGGGGAGAGCGTGAATCGTGCGCCCAATGTCCGTCGCTGCCGTTGCCGTGATAAGCGCAACTTGACAACAGCGCGTGTTGGCTGCCCGCCCGGAATGTCAAAGACGGACAAAAACAACAACAAGAGCGATTGGATTGGATTGGGTTTCAAAAGCGATGACGAGGCTGTGCATGGGCGGATGGGGGAGGGAGGGCTTGGGGCAGGTAGCAGCGGAAACCGGCGTGTTATCTTGATTTTGCAGTAAACGCATTTGCCAGACAAGCGGACAAGCGGACGGACGGACGGACGGCTGGATGGATGGGTGGTAGGGTGGTTGGGTGGTGAATGGTTAAAGGAGGCGTGCCCGCCCACTAATGTCCTCTTTGTATCGATGGTTTTGTTAGCGTAAATATCTTAATTCACCGCTTCACCGCCCCCGACACGCGCTAATCGCGTGCTTTTGACATGAGAATTTTTCGTACATCATCATCAACACCGCTGGTGAAGGTGACAGGACATTTGACACGAGCAAGGACATGCCTCAGTGACGACTGACTTGCTCGCTCGTTTGGGCATTTGCATATTTTTCAAGCCGCTACAGAACTGAATTATAAAGAGCAGCAGGAATATGCCACGTTTATCTATAATAAGTATATATACATATATATAATGGCCGACTTTTTTTATTTTTTTTAAATTATACTTTAACTTATAGTTAAATACAAATACAACTTAAACTAGGGGCTCAGTCTTAATTACAATTTAACATTTATAATTTATATAAATGGTCGACAAACCTGAATCCCATGGAAAATCTTTGAGCTATGCTGAAAAAAAAAGTCGAGCTTGGGGGTTGTATGTAGCTCAGCGCTGCTTTCCCAAAGATTCACTTACAATTTTCTTTCAAGTGAACTTATTTTAAAAACTTATGAAATTGTTTGTTTTTTTTTTAATAATGCAGACGTCAAGAAGTTGTCTGGCAGATTAAAACACCATCAAAGGCACACTCTGATGAGAGTGCTTTTTTTCAACGAAATCTCCAAGTCTCTAAATAAACTGGCAAATACTTGTACAAGTATATAGAATATGGCTTAAGACTATAAAGTTTTGTTCGTATCGCAGCAACCGCTCCATTTTACAAATCATACAATATTTGCGAGTCATATTTGTAGAATTGTTAAGTTTGGTGTTATTGAAAAAAAAAAGTAGAAAAAATTTGTACAAAATAGTTGTTTACCTTAATTTGCGTGCAAAAGCATTTTTTTCAAAAATAAAACACTTTCAAACTATTTGTAGGGTCCCTGGAACAAGTGTACAAGGCGCCACCAGGCGGCAAATAAACTAAACTGCATTATATCGTAAATTAGATACGGGTGTACACAATAAAATCCACAGACACAGTCAGGTTAGCCGTTGGTGTATGTCTCGGCTAAGCAATCCAACAACAGCTTTTCGAAGACCACAACCAGATACGAAGACATTTTCAAATCCGTTGAGTTTCTAATTTGTTTACAATTGAGAAAATATTGGACGATAAAATCGCGTAGTGCTCCCCAAACTGGAAACCCTATTCTGTCGTGTACAATTTCTTTTTATCTAGCATTTGGCGCATCCATTTTCTCATCTCTCAATTGAAAGGTATAAAATATATATATTTTTACATGTTTTAATTCTTTTGTACATTTTAAAAACAATTATTGTAAATGGTATTTGATACTTTGCGCTTCAATACATTTAATGGCTTAGATGAGGGGAGAATATGAACTTATTGGTACTACATTAGTGGATATAGCCCTGATCGATGGCATGCTTGAACATCTCGGCTATGCGTTGGCGCTTCTCGGGCTGTTCGAATGGTGTAATATTCCAGACATCGGTTAGTACCGCCTTCTCTTCAATGGCATCCAAGTCTGCAACCTCGTCATCCTCAATCAGAGACATGGGCAACGACTCTATGCCCATTCCACAGCCAAAGCGACCGAATTCCCGCAACTCCTGCTGCAATGTGTCCCACGAAATGATCGCCTCTGCATCCCCGCCCAGATCCGTGATCAAATCCTGCGCACTTTCCAAGTAGGTGCGCAGAAGCTTCTCATAGTGTTCCTCTCGCAGCTGCTGACTGGTGCAGGAGTAGGTGAAAAAGGTGAGGTCGAGGGCCAGAGACGAGCAGCGTGTCAGCTGGAAGTCAATGATGATGATGGCCTCGGGTTTCCCCTCAGACGAGTAGCGCGTGAGGAAGTTGGGCGTCCAGCAGTCGCCGTGGCCGAACACGCTTAGCTTGGACCGTGTGGAGACCAGCTTGATGAGGTCATCATAGAGCTGCGGCTGCAGAAAATTATTGACCAGTGTCTCGTACTTAGTATCGGGGAAGCTTTTGGTGACGGCATCGCGTGCCACATTCTGGGCCAATTTCAGGAAATCCATGTACCAACTACGCAGCCTATCCGCATAGTAGGTCTCCTCCAGAGCTGCAGCTGCCTTCTCAAAGCCTGGCGCATCCAGTGCATTGAATGCCAAGGCAACGCCATGAAAACGACCCAAGGTGCGCATCGTCAGTAGGGCATCATCAAGAGGAATGTAACTTTGGCGATTTGGCGCACGGTAACCACGAAAACCAACATCCTCCAGAGCGATAAAATCATTGACACCATCACAAAGCGATGCCAAGCACTTTGGATATTCGTTGAAGGGATTCTTGGGCTTACGTGCGGCCTGAAAAGCCTCAATTGCCGGCACTACCTTGGTATAGAAGTGAATCTCATTGCGGAAGAAGTCCACTGAGCGAAAGAGTCGACGCCTATTCAGATTGTCCGGCATGGCCTTCACAATCACATTCACCTCCAACTCCTTGCCATCCTTCTCATTCACGCCATAGACACATAACCGGAACACCTTACTCAAGTAGGAGTCCCCCTTTTTGCCGCCCTCCCCAAACTTGTAGGACGTGTGCTTTGTGCCGCCAGAGTGCTGAATAATCTCATCTAGCGTGGTCTCCGAAAATTTGCTGGAGATATCGGCAAAAGTTGGTGTGGCGCTCATCTTCGAAACAGCTACTTCCAAACTGGCCAACTATTAGCTTCGACTTTTTTATATATACATATGTATGTACATATGTCTTACGTGTATCTTTTCAATAGTTGAGCGATAATGCAAAATAAACACTTGTAAACACAACACTGCTCAACACTGTGTGTGCCGGCCCCTATTGAATTAAGGGCGTTTAACAAGTGTAATTTAGTTCTATAGTAGATACATGCAATGCTCGATATATTTCATAGTTATTGGTTTGACCTCGTTGACCGCCACATCAGAATTAAGCAGCCTTAGGCGTTTTGTGATTAGAGTTGTCTCCTAACTGCGATATGCAGCAGCCTATGCTTCAAAAAGTTTATGATTGCAAAAATATAATTGTAAATGGAAAAAACCCAACAATGTTTGCCGCCCAATTTAAAATCAGCTGTAGAACTTTAGTATCGATTGATATCGACTGTTACAGTTGTGTTCAGTGTTGAGCAACGACTTTAGCGAATTGCACGTGTGCCTCACTGGCTGCGTTTTGATTTTTGTTTTTATAGAGAATTAACCAGCTAGCGCCATGTCTGTGACGAAAAAGAAACGTATTTCGAAGAAAAACAAATCCGCATGGCGCAAAACAGACATACAGGATGTCGAACAGTTTCTCGAGGATCAGCGTCAAGAGGAGCGCATTGGGTAAGCGAATCGTAAGATTTGTAAACAACTTCTTGGCTACATATTAATCCACTTTCCAATTTATGACAGTACGTTTGCAGATAAAAAGGATGCTGATCTGTTCGTGGTAGATGCCACGCCACAAAAAGTAAAGCCCATCATATTGACTCCGAAAGAGAAACGCAAACTAAATGCTAAGAAACCAATGCGTTCGCATCAGGCTCTAGAAAACACGTCAAAGGTGCAGGATCCCATTGTTAAGCGGTAGGTCAAAGCATCAGAGAATACTTACTATAGTTGTTACTTATTTATTTAACTCGTCTACATTTCAGGAATCACGTTAAACAGAAGAAGAATGGCCGAAACATTGAGTTGGAGGTTTGCAATCCCACTAAAGGGCGTCATCGGCAAGCGAACAGCGACCGTGCCCGCTACTATGAAAAGTTAGATCAACGATTGGCCGACAAAAATAGCAACCTCAAAACAGCCAAGGACATTTGGCAGGTCGAAGACTTCCGTGATAAAATACCGGGCCTGAAGGACGAGAAAGGCTGGATCTCCCGCGAGCTGGCTCTGCACATTACGGGTAACGTGGGACGAAAAGTGGTCAAGACACACGAAAGTCTGCGCCACAGCACCACTAAAGCCAAGTGCGTCACCCTTTTCCAGCTTTAGCAAAGCAACCCGCCATAATAGTTATTGATATTCACAGAAAGTTCGAGCCACCGCATCCGGGCCTGAGCTATAATCCCTCACTAGAGGCACATCAGGATCTGCTGGCCAAGGTGGTAGATCGTGAAGAAGGCATCATCAAGACGGAGAAACATTTGCAACGGGTCACGACACGCATGTTCAGCAAAGTAACGCCCGAGCAACGTGATCTACGTCGCCTCATGGAGATGAGCGAAGGCGTCGGAGATGAGGCTGACGAAGTTGTTGAAAATGAAGACAAGGCCGATGAAAATGACGATAAGGCCTACCACACGGTAAATGCGCCCGTCGAAAATAAGAAGAAGAGCAAGCATGCGCGTCGCAATGAGCTTAAACAAAAGGAGTTAAAACGTCAGCATGAGGCGAAGAAGGCGCTCAAGAAACAGACTGCTGATTTGCTGCGGTAAGTAGCCGCCACAATTTGAAAGAAAAAATTATTAAGGAATGTATCACTCGTTCTTTTCTCCAGAATTAAGTCCATACGTGCCGAAGTTGATGCCGAAGCTGAAGAACTCAATGAATTAAAGAAACATCGCAAGAAGGTGGCCGAGAAGAAAAAGTTTGAGCCCAAACGCCTGGGACGTCACAAGTTTGTTGAACCCGATATCGATGTTAATATGCCCGAAGACATTGCCGGCAATTTGCGCAACGTAAAGCCCGAGAGCAGCCTGCTCAAGGATCGCTTCCAGAACATGCAGAAACGAAATATACTGCCAACAACGGTGATCGCATCTAGGAAACTGGCTAAAATCAAGCGCTTCCCGCGTAGCTCGCACAAGGAGCCGGGCGTTTCATATCAGGATCTGCGCCAGCAGCGCAAGGCAACGGCTGCTGCAGCTGCAGCCGCCAAAGATACCATCAAGTTATAGGCTAACCTTTTATTGTATAATTCGCGGTACTAGCAGTAAAAAATATTTCCCTATAAATATACACCTTAAAAAGTAATGCCATCTCGCGCACACTAAATCAAAGATCTGCTTGTCCGGTTTTTGAATTTCTTCTCCTTTCGCTTTTTGGCTATAGGCTCTGTCACATCCTCGCGCTGATCATCGATAGGAGCATCCGTACGCTTGACGCCGCTGCAATGTTGAAGTCGAAGTTCGTGTGCGTAAGAAAGGGAGAGAAGATTGAACTATTCATCTGATATCTACCTCTTAACGGACACGAGTCCACTGCCGTTGGTTTGTGCCTTGGAGTTGCTGCTTTGCAATGCCTTCGACCAGTCCTCCTCGCTGCCCTTTATTTCATACTCGGCTAGACTCTCCGCCTTTAGACGCTTCAACTCCTTGCGCTGCTGTTTGGACAACTTGTTGGCCGTCCGATCGAGCTCATCGTTGAGGGAAAGAGCCAATGGTTCAAGATGTTCGCCACGCGGCAGCGTCTCTTCGGCCAGCATATTGCCCTCGATGTGTCCCTCGATGACGCTGCGGAAGCTCTGATTACATTTTTTCATGGCATCGAAGAACTTCGCCAGTATCTGATTGCCGGGCATGTTCAGCTCTGCACCTACAGCATCCACGCTCTTGCCCTGAACGCCCATGGCAAGCAATATGCCCTGCTGCACAACGTCCAGCTGCAGCGACTCGATCCTGCCCTGGAAGTACAACTGACTGATATCCGTAACCAAATCGATTATCAAACGGAACTCGGCCTGCTGTCGAGCGTAGGCCTCCAGACGTTGCAGATCGTGCGGCAGAAAATATACGTCCAGGGTGTGCTTGTCCAGCGCCGCCTGTGTTGACATTTGCACCGTTTTGTTGCGCAGTAGCGCCAGACACAACTTGGTCTCAAACTCCCGGAACGTCTTGCCCATCAGTTTAAGAACGCGCCGCCTGAAGTCATTGTAGTAAAGACCCAGCCAGCTAGCATCTTCGTCCAGGGTGTGCAGCATGATACAGGTGTGCTCTGCTGTCAGATCGTTTGCTTTTTGGCTGAGGTAGACGGGCACAAAGCCAGCACTCTTCCAAAATTTCAACAGATCCGATGTAAGACCATATGAAGTGCCAACATAATCCACGAGCTCTGGTGGTCGTTCGTGAAGACGCTTGAGTAGCGTGGGAACCTTGTTCCGAGGTCGTATATTCTCTCGCAATAGGCTCACATCTTCTTCCTCGACCTCCTCGATACCTGAGAGAGTACAAAAATAGATATTTAATAAAAATACAGATTAATTTAGCTGCGCGGAGTGAATCACGCAGCCTCCTTACTCACCATTATCAGGCTGTGTGGTCGTCGGCACCGAATCGTCGAGATTGGCATATTTGCGAGCATAATAATCCTTCAAGAGCTTTATAGCCCGCTTGCCATAGCCCATGCGCTGGTAATTGGGATGAGTGGCCACACGGACGATTCGCACTCCCGCTAACTTGGGAAAGTCCCGGTCCCCGTACTGCTCAGAAATGTTCCAGGGTATGAGATCCCCAGCCGCCTTTCTGCCACGCCCCAACGAATCGCTGATTGTTTGTGCCGAAATCTGTCCCTCGAGAGCCACCTGTATGATCACCAGAATCTCGGGCAACTGATCCATACGCTGCACAGGTCCGAGCAGACAGAACAGATGATGTGCTGGCGCATCGCTCATCATTTGCAGATCATTTGGACTGTTCTTGTAGTGCGAGGATACGTAGATGGAGACGATACGATGTAGAAACGATTCTGCAGCCTTGTGGTACGAGAAGAGAGCATCACGATCAACATAGTAGAGCTCGCAGGCTGCGGGCGTAGGACAGCCCGAGCTGACGATCGGCACACTGGTGGCGTCCAGGCACAGCAGATTGATCAGCCAGCGCTCTATGTCATCGCCCTCCTGATATCGAATGGATTCTTCTAGCGTGATCTACAGCAGAAAATAGATTAAATGTACTGAAAACAGCAACATAAATGGTCACTCACCGGTGGGCGTGCGTTGTTTTCTTTTTGCAGCTGCGAAATCAGCTTGAGGCTGAGCGAACGACCCGTGCCCTCGTAGCCATTGATCGTGGAGGCCATGAACACCAAATAGGGGCCCACCATCTTCTTCACAAGTGGTAGTGGAATAGCGGCGGCCTCGTCAATCAGTAGCAAGTCGGCCGCATTCAGCAAATGCGTATCGCTGGGCGCTATGTACTGAATGGTCTGGCGATTGCTGCGCGTTATATTGATGCGAATAATCGCCTTCTTGTATTCCACATTGGTGGAGCGGATGATAGTGTAATCAGCATGCTCTTGATACTCCAGCGCATCGAAACCCTTCAGGACGAACTCAAAGAGGGTGATCAAGTTTTCAGGATGCGGGGAGGTTACATAGACGTTGACATAGCCAAAGGCAATGGCGGCGGCTATTGACAGACCCAATGCAGCCGATTTTCCACGCCCACGGGCCGCAGTCAACGAAATGGGCGGCTTGAGTTGCTTGTCCACCAGAGCCTCTATGAACTGAGCCACGGCATTGCCCTGATCGTAGGTCTTGCACAAGTTCACCAGCGGGCCGGCGGGCTGTACGGTCTGCAAACTCTCCTTCAACTCCAATAGGGTCTGTTCATTTTCCGATTTTGAAATATGAGCTGGCTGTGGGAACAAACACACAAAAGGCCAATTGTTTAAACGAAGTAAAGTGTACAATTAAAGAACTGAAAGAACTGTTCCACTAAGTCCGTTGGGGAAAACGGTTTAAGTTGACATTAAATTGGGAATTTTCCAGTTTATCCAAAATATTTCTCTAAGTATTAAAACTTAAATAATAAAAATCAATATACTATAATTCAACACAAAATATTAGGTAATCAAAAATCGTATTAATTAAATATAATTATTAAAGAAGGAAAAATAAACCGATATTTAAGCATTCAGGAAGCCTGGGGCAATTTTACACGACAAGGTCTTGTATATGTACTAGAGCCAAACAAGTAATAGAATTTAAAAATAAAATAATTATAAATAAAAAATAGGTCATATAACAAAAATGTAAAAAAGACAAAAAAAATATAAATGAATTGAGCTGTGCCCATCACAACCTTCCGCACAAGACTGAGCAACTGACAAAAGGACTAATTATATTTGGAACCGTACTGACAAATCAAGGCCTACTGCTAGGGTTGCTCATCCATTTCGGCTTTTTATGGGTACACCTGATTGCCGTTTTGATGGCAAATAATCTCAAAAAGAAGAGACTACTAGTTTTGACCTGTGTTTAAGGTACGATTCTGCTATACAGCTTGTCAATAGTGGGTGATATATACACATTCATACGGTTATACTCACATTCACAGGCTCTACATTTATTGTCTTGGAGCTAAGGGGCAGTACTGTGAGGTCATCATTAACCACCAGACAACGTTTGCAGTCGGCCAGGGAGAGAATGAGTCGTTCGTTGAACCTACAGGTGACCGTCTGATGCGCCTCAGTCCGAAAGCGCTTGTGCACATCCATGCTCATGGTGTAGAGCTGTTTGAGCGACTGCAGAGTCTTTAGCAGAAGAATGATAAGGCCACCACCCTCCACTGTTTCTACGGTGCGTGCTAACAGATTGGGTGTTAGTGCCTCGAAGTCCTGAAGCACGCAGACGCCATAAGTGCGGCCCAACACCGCATGTGTCTCCGAGTAGTAGCGACCATGTATTGTGGTTGCCACACGAAACGAATCAAACAAGTCGGCTTCGTTGACATCCACTTTGCCGGCTGCAATCTTCTTGGCTCGCTTCTTGCCATGACTGAAGAAATAGAATTGCAGAGTTTTAAATGGAAGCACACACAGACTGCTGCAAAACTCACTTGGATATAGCCTCGTCCTTATTCTTATAACACCAGAGCACAGTGGGTCGGGCCTTTACTGTCGATTTGATCAGTATATCATATAGAATCGGTACCTGGTCGCGCGCCTTGTCACCAATAATAATGAACATTGTTCGATGACCAAGCTTTACGCCATTCTCAATCATCACCCGAATACGATTATCTATTTTCTTTTTAACCATTTTCACCGATTCGTCTAAACGCCTGCGCCAATTGGTAAAAATTAAACAATAACACAGTGTATTCGCGGCCGCCACCGCAGTTCAAACGCACGTGTTGATTGGCGATGGGTGATATTTATATAACTGCGATTATAAATCACTAGGGACAAAGTCACTAGTCGCAGTTTTTACAATTCAATTAGTTTCATATGAAACGGTAGAACCATTTACAAGACAATTATTTAGCAGATATTTGAAAATGAGATTTCTATACATATTTATTTATGTAATAATAATAGCACAAATAATAATTCAGTATTTTGAATAACTCTGTTTAGTTTTGTTTTACGTTATTACCAATCTACAACGTATTCAAACACAATTTATTTATATGTTGCTATATATGTATCTTTATTATGTCTCTAATTATTGAGCTTTTAGATATATGTACCGATAATTACAACCGAAAATTACAGTCACAGCCAATGCTATTACCCATCACAATTTACCACCGGCTATGCAGCCCTATACCGGCTGTTTAAACTCTACTGTTCCATCCCTGCCGATCAAAACCGCAACATCGGGCACGTTTTTTGTGTTGTTAAACATATCGTGCAGTTTTATTGTGAACAGAAAATATTAGGGCACGATGTCGTCCTGGAAAAAGGCCTCGAAAAGCAATCAAAAGGTGCACCGCGAGCGCCACCAGCCGGACGCACGCAAGCATCTTGGTCTGCTTGAGAAGAAGAAAGACTATAAGAGACGCGCACTCGATGCCCAACGGAAGGAAAACACGCTGAAGGCTTTATACAAGCGCGCCCAGCACAAAAATCCTGATGAGTTCTATCACCATATGATCAATTCTAAGCTTACCAACGATGAGCATCATGAGAAGGAGGAACCCGACGAACACAGTGCCGCGCAAACATCGCTTATGCAGACGCAGGACCTCAAATATGTGGTGATGAAGCGCACCATCGAACGTCGCAAGCTTGAAAGATTGCGGGCATCTCTCATCGATGTAGATGACACAACAACGGCAAATAAACGCCTCAAATTCAATGAGAATGGCGTTAAAATTAAGGCTAAGGCGGTGGCGATAGTCCCTTTGGAAAAGCGCTTAAAGACGCAAAAAACATCGATCCCTTCAGAGCAGGTAGGTGCAAGAAAACATGCATCAACATAATCAGGGTGGTAACATAATCATCTTATTCTTCTCCACAGAAGCAAGAGCACATTACATACAAAGAGCAACGGTTAAGGGAGTACAAGAAACGAGTAGAACGCGAACATGAGTTGGCGATTGTGCAACAAAAGTTGGAGCTGCAGCGCACGCTGAAGCAACCACGTTTGCTTAAACCGAAGAAGGTGCAAAAGGGCACGAAAGACAGCGCACCTGTTTTTAAATTCAAATATGAGCGGAAAAAATAAAGAGGACTGCTTTTAGTAATAAGATATTTTATAATTAATTACGTACCGTGGCCTATTTACGAAATTAAAAACTATGCAACAATGTATTTGGAAAGAGATATTGTCTTAACGTCGTGTTCTTTTGCTAGGCACCTCCAAATCAGGAGGCACAGGCATGTCGACTACACCATCTGAGGTGATAAAAAATTCGGTGGACTGGTTGGGCGTATCCGGTGAAAAAACGACCTCCAGTTTTCGCACGCTCAACATCTCGGCCGCCTTCCAGTGCTGCCTGGGCCCCTTGCTAATACGCAGGTGAGTGCGAACCAGTTGTGCCCATTGCAGGCCCAGACATGGCATATCCTGCAGTGTTCCATTCTCAGAATTGGCGGAGCTGGCCGTCATTTGATTGGAGCAAACAACCGCCAGCTTATACTTATCCACATAGCCGAGAAGGGCATGAGCAAATCGACGGAGGTCCCGTGCTCGCTCTATGAAGTCTGTGTATAGCCGAAAGATGGCGGCCACTGAGTCTACGATTATCAGACCAATGTCTTGTTGCTCCAGCAGTTTAGGCAGTCGTTTGCAGACACAGTTGAGCAGTGGCTCCTATAATAATATCATATAACAGCCAGGTATCTTCGAATGACTATACTTACTCACGCTATCATATAACTGCTCAATGAATACATTGCTCATATACCGTAGCTTCTGATCGGGGTAGCGAGTCTCGAAAGCTTTCGAGATCTGAAGTAAACGGCGCGAGGGAAACACATCCTCGGTGCATATGTAAGCTACGCCCCTGCCTAGTCCACCCAGGTTTGTGGGCAGTTGTGCGCAGAGCGATAGCTGCAGAAGCAACTGTGTCTTTCCCACGCCAGCGGCTCCACAGATTTCTGTTATGCCACGCGTGGAAACTCCACCGCCAGTGCAGCGATCGAGGCTAGCACAGCCAAAGCTCAGATGTGACCACTTGTTACAGGCTGGCGGTTGAAGAAGAGAGTCAGCTGCAGAGCAAATAAATCTGATGAGTGAAAGGCAACGGATTTGCTTGCTACTCACCCGCAACTGGCGACTGGGCCAACCATTTTGCTGCCGCATCCTTTAGCTGACGAACATCTTCCGGCTTGCATTTTACATCGTTACTAACGGACTTTTCCAATTTATAGCAATAATGGGGATTAGTTTTTGTTAGAACCGACTGGAATGAGGATTTGTCTTTAGCTCTGTCCTCTTCCAATACACGCGTGTCGAGAAACTTCTCCGTGGACGTTACCAGTATGAGCTCTGGCGTGCAAACATTGACTGGAAGTGGAGTTAAGGACTTAAGAAATATATACGAGATCATCAAGTCTAACCCATAACGCTCACCACGCTCCGCCATATCCCGAATATGCTTAGGCAGCTGCTTTAAGAAATCCGTCATCGCTGCGAGTGGTTTCGAAAATATTTAAAGTTCATGTAGCTGGCGATCAGTTGTTCCCTTTCACTCACATACCATAGCGTAATGACAAATTTTTCTTAGTGGCCGCTTGGTGCTTTAAATAGACCCATGAATTAACTGGCACATAAACAACAGTATACATAAAGCCCGTTGCTTCTAAAATTCCGTTATCGCCAATCTTTTCAGTCTGTATGATCGAAGGAATAGTCAAGAACAGCTCAATATTCGGCATCGAACATTTTTTAATCGTTATCCATGCTATCGATAATTTAGTGTTAAGCCGGCGCATTTCGAAGTCTGAGGATGAGGTTTCAGTAGTGCAAATTCTGGACATGCAGCAATAATGGACGCCTTCATAAGGGAGCTGAGTCTTAGTCCCAGTACAAGCATTGATCAAGTGGCCCCCCACTGCGCAAAGCTGCTAAGCTGGCTCCAGGAATGTCATCAACAAATGGAAACACACAAAGACGTCCTAAAACTCAGCTACAGGGACATCGAGAGCATGTTAAAGGCCGCACTGTATGTGTTTGAGTGTCATAAGCTATTAGGCGATAAGCTGGTAGGGGCAGTGGAGGAACTCATTCAACAAATTCATGCGGACTCGCATAAAATTGTGCTGCGATTTTGTGACACATTCTTATCAAGTCGTGAGCAAGTCATCCAACAGCTATGCTACAGAATTTTGGGGACAGTTGATGGGCATACGCATGCGCCAATGCTGCATTACATGCACAAGGCTTTTGCTGATGTGCAGCCGGAGTGGAAGATCATAAGCACTTTGGACTGGAAACAACCTGAAAATGAAACGGAACCATTGACATTGGCATTGCAAAGACAGTACACGCTAATGCATCGTTTTGTAAATCGAATCTTTAGCCTGCCGACGCTGGTAGAGATTGAGGTGGCGTTGCATCGCGCTATGGCATGTATGGGCTTTGGGACATGGCTGCAAATGTTTCGCGAGTCCACGAAGAGCGTCTTGTATAACCGTTGCTGCGTACTGCGCCATATGATCTGTGATATACTTGATAAGGGAACAGAACCGCTCTGTTCCACTTTCGTGCACAACATTTACCTTTACGTTGCGGATGGTACTGAGATGGAGTTGCAGAAATTCTGGAACGGATTATACAGTGATCGCTTTGCCAGCAGTCTTACTCGGTTTTTCTATAATTACTGGTCTCGTCATTTGGAGCATGTCGATTTAAACGAATTGAAATTGACAAATGGAAAGACGAAACCTGTACTGCCCCTGGATCAGGTTCTTTACGTTACACATTTGATGCTGGATTCAAGCTCTCCATGTCGCAATCAATTTTATGGTGAGCTTCGCACGCTTAAACAGTCTATTGATTTACACTATTTACTCAATAAAGTTGCATTCGTTTATACCTAATTTTAACTATTTATACACATGTTTTATTTCAATTCTTCACAAGCTGGCACAAACTCGTGGTTCCCGTGCACGATTTTGGTAACCTTTTCGCCTTTTTCCGCCAATATCTCCTCGATGTTGCGTTTGCCATTTAGATCGGTGAACCAGTTTAGATTATCGGCAATTAGGTGATGATTTCCACAACCATCACAGGTCACTATAACTACACCACGATTGTAAGCGACCTTCGATATGGTTTTCATGTTTCGGGTGTTGCAGACTTTGCATGTGTAGATCAGCTGCATTTTAGTCTCCAGTTCGCCAAGGGGTATACTGTTTGATACAATGTGAGCTCCATCTTTCTGTAAATACTATTTGTATAGAATTACCAATGACTATGGCTGTTCCCAATCATTATTTACCGCTGTGTTGTCGCTGAAAGCTCGTCGACACGTGAAGTTTGTTTTGTTGCACGGGTTAACAGCTGTTGTTATTCCCGTTCTAGAAATATCTGCACTGCTGAGCCTCTGTACTGACTTAGTAAATAAATGTGTAGAACTCAGGACATTTCTGCTAGTACAAACCCTGTACATTTGCCTGATGGTGTTCATTTTAAATTGATTTGGAAAAAAGACCGAACTCAAATTGTTATAAACGCATCCTCAAATGACGTATCGACGACTATCGATAACGATTTATTTGAATTAACAGCTAGTGTTCTGATGCGGTATTATTCACTGCAAAAGATATGATACGACACAATTTCGTTTTACATACTTTATTCACAAGTATTTTTATAGCTTATACTAGGGGTGTATGTGCATGATCAAGTATTATATGGAATTGGGTAACTGACAAGCACGCACAGCAACTAACTGCAGCAGTACGAATATTGGCGAAAACACTTCGCTATACTCCAGACCCGTCTTTCCCGACAGTTTAAGACAGAGCAGATACTTGAATATAGCAATGAGGACGAGAAAATATGTGCTCCACATAAAGCGATTCAGAGCCTTGCGTTTGTTGTCAGAGTCCAGATACATTCGTATGCCGACTATCACGCAGAAGTAAGCGTTGAAAATGTCGATGAAAAACAGCGGACTGAATACGGCAAACCAATCACTCTTGACATCCAGCGCAATATTGTTGAGCGCGCCAGATATTTTTAGGGACAGCGTTATGGTAAACATTAACAGACCGCAGAGATTCAACAATATTTCAAACTCTGTTAGGCCGAGCCAGCGCACCAATTCCGATAGTTTGAACATGCTTTCTTATTTATCTGTGGGTTTTGTTTTTTTTGTTTTAAATTGCTTTTGTTGTTGTGGTTTGCGAGGCGTTTGCTGTCGGGCGCTATACGTCTGTCGCCTGTCTTCGCTGTGGTCAGGCTTTGGAAGTGCGGGTTGTGCTGGTAGTTTGGGCACGATGATATTGAACAGATTACTATTGTATATTTTTATATGTAGCGCCGAGTTGTTGCGGTGGCGAAATGTTATGTCGTCTTCATCACAAAGTGGATGCAGTTCATCCACCAGGCGTAGAGTGGAAGTGTTAATAGCGTAGCTAAGAGCACCTTCCGAATTCTTGATTAGACGCAGTGCTAAGTTGAGGCCGCGTGTGATGGAAAAGCCCATGCAATGCAAGTATATTTCGTTGACACCCGAGTTAAGGATATCCTCGCATCGTTTTTGCTGTGCCTATTGACAATTTAGAGCAGTTGTAAATGAAGTATTAAAATAAATATATAGCACACATACCTTTATATCTGACTTGCTTGTAATGTAAATATTACGATTGTCGTTATAGACACGCGGAGGAACCTTCCGCACGACTCTGTGATGTGCACGATTGTTCTGCTGCTGCTTGTGTCTATTGTTTCTTGGCTTTGCCCCGCGCTCCGTTGAATTATTGTCCATTATCAGATAAACAACGATCAGTTGCCCATAATTTAATGCATTGCCTGTTTACCTTACAAATCAATTACACAGTCACAGTTCGGGTCCGGTCGGCTGGTAAAATATTATCGATGAGGAATACCAGAACAATGCTGCGTAGTTGATATGGCAACGCTGCGCTATCTGTCATTTTGACTAGGACGACTTGTCGATTTTTCTCTAGCTCCTCACCATACAGCGTTCGTAACATTTCGGGTGCACAGCAAAAATCGCCAGTTGAAAACTTTAGCTCTTCTTTCGGAACAACAAAGGTATGTTTTGCAGCCAGCGCAAGTGGCACAAATAACATTTTCAAACAAATTGTAAGCCTTGGTTAAATTATTGATTTAATGCAACATATGCTTAAACAACAAATATTTGCCATTAACTCGAAACATATACATACATACTCACTTATATACATATGAACGAACGCCGCTGTTGAAGGCTTCAGCGGTAGCTGTGGGAAAAAATTACATAACTTCTTAATTTAATTTTATTCCAAATAGTTGGGAAAAAAATTATATTTTCTGCATACATAAGTAAGTTACGGATTAAGAAAGCATCTTAAGTTTTACGAAAATTACATAAGTTTAAGTGTGCAAAGAAAAACGCAATTTATTCCAACGTCATGTCGTATGCGGAAAAGAACCCAAAAAGTATTCTCCTAACCACAAAAAAAAATATATAGAAAAACAAAAACAAACTCCTTGCACAACGTTTTGGTCCAAGTAGCGTTTTGTATTCATGCGTTCAAGTTCATTTTTCCATGCAGGACAAAATTCCGATTTCAGTTAACAGTTACAAAGCAGGCAAGCACAAATACACTCAAACGCACGCGTCGCGTCCCACCGCGCGCCCTCTTCAGCTTATCCAGCAACCGCGGCGCATAACAACTAATTAAATTGCCAAGTGGTGACGGAGCTAACCGAGACCTACTATCATTGACCGCCAGTCGCACTCGCAGTCATCGTTGCCAGCAGTCAAAACACAGCAGCCCAGTCATCGGATAACGACAGCGGAATACGCAAACAAGTAAATTTTACAATTCTTATTACAAACCAACAAAACCAAACAGAAAAAAAGATACAAATAACAATTGCATAAGTGTTGAAGAGCGTGCATATTTTCTTTTTGCCTGCCCTGCCGTCGCCATTCCTTACTTCAATTGATTTGTTCATCAATGAATGGAGTAATTGAAACGGCAACGTGAGCGATTTACTGTTCATTTGTATCCAAGCATATCAGTATCCTCTCAAGATACACTACATGCCCATAACTTCTAGCACGTTTCGTTGTGGTCCGCTTCCACACCGCTCATACATACATATGTATGTATGTATGTACATATTATGTACATAAGCATATCAAAATGTATATATTTAAGGCGGGGCGAGGCATCAAAAGAGGCACATCAGCACAATAAAAATCTATCTTTTACCTTCACGATATCTCAAAATCAATGAAGGCAGTGCTAACAAAGTCAAGCTGATCAAAATATATGTAAAAGCGAAACTATATTGTGTAAATAGGTATTCCGCATTCGTACATATGCATCTGCTTGATTTAACGCGGCACAGTTTGAATTGCAGATTGTTAACAACAAGGGATCAACGGCCACGCCAACGGCAACGGCATGTCTGCGGCGCGTTTACCGTACTATCAACAGATGGATTCCATGGAGCCCCAGCGGCGTGGACGCAGTGGCAGTCGTGGACGTGGCCAACGCAGCGGCTACTACAAAAGTCATGGCACGCGGGATCGCAGCCGCTCTATAGAGCGTCGTCGCTCCACTGAACGACGTCGCTCTACAGAACGCCGTCGCTCTACAGAGCGTCGCCGCTCCACAGAACGTCGCCGCAGTCGCAGCCGCAGCCAGCGAAGGCGCAGTAGCCGCGACCGTGAGCGTCGCCATCATCAGCAGCAGCGCCACAGAGATTCACGTGAGCGCTCTCGTGATCAAGAACGAGATTATTCCAAGCGTGGAAATTACCACCATCACAGGCGTACACGTACGCGGAGTCGTACCCGTTCTCAATCTCCGGCTGCACAGAGCAACACCAGCAGACGACAGCATGGTAGATCGAGAGCAGATTCAGAGCATGACAAGATCACTGGGAACAAGCAGTTTAATCACAAAGTAGGTCCTGAAGCTAGCACAAGTTTTGGTGGTCCAAAATACAATGCCATGTCAGCGGTAGGCGCTTACTATAATTTAGAGCTGGACGGACCAGTCGACAAGGAGCGCATTCATCGTGAAATTGAGGAAAAGCTTCGTGAGACATTGGCGCGCGATGGCAAAGTTTACCCGCCGCCTAAACCGGAGCCATCGCATCCGGTATTTGCCAACGATGGCTCGTTCATGGAACTCTTCAAGAAAATGCAGGAGCAGCAGCAGCAACAGGCTCCCACAGAACCGGTCGCCAATTCAGCTGCCATAGAGCAACAGCGAGAGCCATTGGGTCATTTAGAAGCGCCTACGGGTGCGAATCAATTTGGCGCATTGCCAGCTATTGCAGTTGGGGCAGTAAACAGTGCTACCGCTCCATATATTGCAGCAGCCGCTGCTGGAAAAACGGCGCCTCCGCCACTTCTAGTGGGTCGTCGACGTGGTGGAAAAATTTTAAAGACCGGTGTGGTGGCTAAGCTGAAGACGCCAAATGAACGGGATGTGGATCCAAAGGATTTCTGGTCCCTCTATTTAGCCGAAGTGGATAAATATAAAAGCAATACCTGCGACACGGACAATGGCAAGCGGCCTTTGGTGAAGTAGACGGTGATCGGAAAATAACTCCCGCACTTACATATACACTTACCTTAATCTGACGAACACAAACATAGCGTAAGCAACTTTGTATAGAAACTAAAACCCCATGAAAATTTGAACTTGAACGCAAACGACACCAGCTACATATATAGTGAGATAATTAAACAATGTAGTAGCATCTTAAATTCATTTAACCCAATTGAGGTGCCGTGGGACACGTGCTGCCCCTTAAGAGGTTATGACATTTTCTTTCCTCTCCTAACTGCCAGGAGAGAACGCCACTATTAAAAAATCTCCCCCTAGTTTCCCCCCTTAACTCTGTAAGAATTAAACAATAGTATGAAGTGAGAAATTATGAAAGCACTCACAATTTCTTGGATAATGTTTTTTTCTGCAACACATTTAGTTCTGTAAGATAGTGGTAACAATTATATCCTGACACACATTACGCTCAATTCCTAATTTTCTTTAAATCGGCAAGCCGTTTGTAAGTTATAAGATTGTGTTAGAAACCGTATGTCAGCGTGTGAATAGCTTAGACTGTAAGTAAGGAAGCACAATGTATGCAGATTTATATATATAGTGTGTAGACTAACATACACATATCAATGTGTGCGTTAGTACTATATTATTTAGTATGGATGTATGTATAAATTGATTATGTATTTGAAGGAAAACTCTCATCCAACATCATAAACATTTACTAATGTATACGAATTCTTGTGTGTCCGTCTTTCTCTCTTTCTCTTTGCGTTTACTTTGCTCTTCTCATCCACAAAACTGCGCACTTTTTATTGCCTTTTATTTACCATTCACTTTTGTTCTAACTTTTCGTTCATGTACATGCACATGTTTATCGATCATGATACATGATACTATTTACATTATTCGTCGTTTTATTTTGAAACTGATGGCTCTGTCTTTGTCTATCCTAAACCTTGGTTTATAATTTGGTTGCCTTTTTCGTTTCTTAACCAAAGTCTATATATATGCAATTTTTCATGTCCAAAAACAAAAACAGCGACAAGTCGTCCGCCGACACCAGCAACATGTCCGCCTACAAAATGGAAACCGCACCCTTCGATCCACGTTTCCCTAACCAGAACGTGACGCGCTATTGCTACCAGTCGTACATCGACTACCAACGCTGCGTGAAGAAGCGTGGCGAGGACTTCGCACCATGTAACTACTTCAAGAAGGTCTACAAGTCGATGTGCCCCAATGCCTGGATTGAGAAGTGGGACGATCAGCGCGAGAGCGGCACATTCCCGGGCCGCATTTAAGATGTAGTCCGCCATTGATAAAGCCACTAATAATACCACACACCCAGACATACGCATACAAACATACCAACCAGAACGGGGAGGATGTGAACAACAATAGCAGCAGTGGCTGGTCTAGTATTAAAAAATGTTTTTAAACTACACCAACAAAAACAACAAATACAAAGCAACAACAATTTTGTTTAGTTAAGAATCTGGTCGGTCGTTTGCTTCTTCATCTTGTTGTTGTTGTTTGACGTCGCTTCTAAACTATACAAATTGTTAGGAACAATTACAACAAATACGAACACACACATACTATCGATGTGTAATAATAAAAACTAAAAAAAAATTACTGAAACTCTTTTAATTTACATATCAATGTGTATGTTATGAGGGGTGTCCATTCTGTAGAAAAAAAGTTGCTGGAATATTATATTATTTGACAGACTCTTCGAAGGAAAGGAATTTGTTAAAGCCATAAATGTAATCTCTGTCCATGCTCTGCAACCAGCCGTTGTTGGTTGCCACACATACACAGGCACTCCATTGTTTTTTTTTTCTCATTGCTGTGTACAATTTTCAAATAAATTCAAAAAATGTTTAGCCAATAAGTGTACTTCCACAATTTCTGATATGAATCAGCTGTTCCAGACTGAGAGAACCCACATACATACATATGTATGTATGTAAATAATCAGCCTAGCTGATTACAAGCATTCCAAGCTTTGATTGTTTTGCTTGCTTACAGCTTTTAATATCAGCTGTTCAACAGGTGCCATGTACATACATACATATGTAAATATAAGACAAGTAAAATACATCGTCAAACGATTATTTTGCCTGTTTCTACCAGCTATTTAAATTGCTGGATTCTCTTTATGTGCTATTTTTAAAAGTTAACCCACTATTAAAAGCTACTTTTTTGATGCAGCACGCTTAACAAACTGAAATGTAATTAATATTAAAATAATCGCTATCGAAATCTTCCCTTAAATCTGCTTAATACCGATACCGATTGGAGGGTATTATTTGTTTACGTACGTTCCTTGTGTGGCTTTTCGTTTTGTTATTTTTTGCAGCGCAAGAAGTAAAACTATGTCAGACTCGGAGGATGATTGGTTTAACAAGGACGAAGATGAAATTGTACAAGGTTTGCAGAAGCAAGTCCAAGTCAAACATAATGACGAAACCTTAAATGTGGATAAGGAGGAGCACATTAAATGCAGCAATATTATAAGTAAGTGTTGTTGTTTCTTAAATTCAGGAGCTTTTTGAAAATCATAAACTAATTAAAATCCGAGCAGATCAGGACTATCTGAATCAACTAAACTTAAGTGCAAGTGCCGTCGACGCCGTTCAAAAAAAGGCCGGTCGTTTTACAGCAAGAGAGTTCGAAAAAGCTTTAAAACTATCCCCACTAGACATGTTTCTTTACTTTATGGCAGAGGACCGCAACATTTTTGCCGATCAGATAGCCACTAATGATTCCCAGAAGCGAGTTATGCAGTATCTAGATATTCTATCGGTACTCGGCAAATTGGAGTTAGCAGGCTTCGATGGTCAGATACTGTCGTCGATAGCCACGCAGGTGCCGTTACTGGAGCAGCTAAAACGCTTTTCAGTAAGAATGTTTGCGCCCAGTCAAAAAGGCGGCTGGGATGCTGAATCGGAGCTGATGATGCGGAACATGAAATGGCTGTTGGTGCGGGCTCACAAGTGTGGGCTTTTAACTAGCCAGGGCTACGAATTTTTGGGCTTGTTGAAAACAATGTTGACGCAATGTCGGTTGCCACAAATTCTAGAACATCCCTTGTGCATCGAACTGGCGCAGGAATTTAAAGCATGCGACATTGTGCCTGGTAAACAACCAGAGGGCTGCGCCGCATTACCAATCCATGTTAGAGCAAAGGATGAGGTGAGCTTAGCTATACGAATCAGTTGTAATTGAAATTTAAATATACCATGCATTTCGAAAGATATATCCTACTCGGGAAGACCTTTTGCGATCCGAAGCTGAGGATGTTGTCAATGCCACTGGACCTGTCCAATCAGGCGACGTTATAGGTTATATAAGAAAACAACGTTTGCTTTTACAAGAAGATTTTTTCCTCCCGCTGCGGGATTTGGTTAGAATGATACGTTCCGGAACAGAAGAAAATTTGAGCGAGTTGCAGAATCAGGGTCTGATGTGCAGAGATACACAGATATTTCTAAACCCTGATTTTGCAAATGCGCAGCGTCGTGGTCTAATTTTCGTAGACTTTTTCAGCAAGAAGCGCCAATCCAATAAACGACTGAATAAATTAAAACTCCATTTTGTGGAGAACCTAAAAACAGGTGCCTTGCTCTGCTTTACGAGTACCAACGAGTTGGAGAATCTTATTTTGGCCACAGTCACATACACAGAACCGGCTATTCTTCGGGAAGGTTACGTAAGTTCATGCAAACTGAAATTTCGCATTAACTTCATTGAATTTATCTTCATAGGTTGGCGTGGAAATTGTAAACCAATACAACATCGGCCATATCTACAACAAGCCCCTTATAATGTTCCAAGCGCCGGCATTTTTTGAACCTTATCAACGGGTGTTTAGTTACCTGAGTACATGCAGCATTGAAAACTTTCCAATGTCTCGCTATATAGTAGATGGACAGGCAAGTAAAAGAGTTTTTGGATTGTTTGTACCTTTCCTAATTCTTGGTCTCTATTCTAGTTGAAAACAAATCCGCCAGCATACTTCAAGTCTAACGCTATGTACACAAATAATGGATCCGCATTCACACCAAGTCGTCTGCCCAATGATATGCCCCTCAATGGGAAACAGCGTGTCGCTTTTGCCGATGCGCTCTCCAACGAATTTTGTCTCATACAGGGGCCGCCAGGCACTGGCAAAACGCTTCTGTCAGTCGAGATAGTGAAAACCCTGATAGAGAATGCAAAGCAGATCGACTCCGGACCTATAATTGTATTGGCTTATACCAACGATTCACTGGACAAGTTCCTATTGAAAATCTCGCAATATACGCATAAGATCTTGCGCTTCGGCAGCAAGACCCGGCAGCCACAAATAGCCAAATTCAATGTATTCAACAATGTCGATATAGGACTTGTGCCGCCACGCCTGAAAAGCGTTTGGTGGATGGTCAGCAATGAATATAAGGAAAGCTTCCAGCGATTGCAGGAGCTACAAAAGGACTTTGACGGCAGTGAGGAAGCATATCAGGAAATTGTTGCCTCTCAGCAGAAATTGAAATTAGTGGCCGAGAAACTAAATACCGTTCAAGTCATCTTCCAGTTCTATGAGGCCAAAGATACAGCGCTCATTGCCATGACCACCACTTGTGCTGCCCGGTTGAATTTCCTTTTTCGTTTCCTTAAAAGCAAAATAGTCGTCTTTGAAGAAGCGGCTGAAATACAGGAATCACATGTAGTCGCCTGTTTAACGCAATATACGGAGCATGTCATCATGATTGGAGACCATAAGCAGCTGCAACCCTACACGGGCAGTCAGGCAAATCATGGCTTAAATGTTTCTCTGTTTGAGCGTCTCATTCTCGCAGGATTCCCTGTAACCGTCCTCAATGTACAGTACCGAATGCGCAGCTGCATTGCGTCTCTGCTGGTTCCCACATTTTACGATGAACTGGTCTGTGATGACACAGTTCTTGAATATGAAAACGTCCGCATGATGTCCAAGAATCTGTATTTTGTTACTCACAATGAGTCGGAAATGCACCTGGTAAGGCATATTACCTGCAACCTACTTCTACCTAGCCTACTTCTACATTATCAGGGCAAATATTAATAGCATAATAATGTCTATGATTTGTTGATAATCGTAATCTATGGTTTCTGATTTTTATATTTGCAGTTGGACATGTCTTTTAGGAACAACTACGAAGCAAGCCAATTGATTTCACTGGCGTCGCACCTAATCAGCGGGGGCAAGTATAAAAGCAGCGACATTGTAATCCTGACACCCTACAACGCTCAAGTGGACTACATAAAGAGTCTGGTGAGTAGCCAGACATCATGCTAGCAGAGATCGATAAATAAACATATACATTTTTTGTAGCTGCCCAAATCGATGGCTGTTGCAGTGCAAAGCGTCGACAGTTTTCAGGGATTGGAGGCTAACATTGTCTTGCTTTCGTTGGTGCGAAGCAATAACTCTGGAGTTATTGGATTCTTGCGTCAGCCCAATCGTGTTTGTGTCGCGTTGTCCCGGGCTCGTTGGGCTCTCTATATAATTGGCGACATGGAGTCACTGAAGAGGGGAAGTAAAAATCTATGGACTGTTATTGAGAAGAAATTGTTGTCGTTCGAGTGCATTGGTGATGAATTCCCACTTATTGAAGTTGCCTAACTTGTCGTTACTTAAAGTATAACTCGTTGGCTCCTAACTCTGGCAAAGGCTATGAGCCTTCTAATCAGCCAGTATTGAAAACAAAACCAAAAATGGTCAAAGTGATGTTCAATTCTAATTTTATCTTAAGAAGGACTAGATTAAGACTTTTTGAACTAACTTTTTTAAAACAATAAAAGGTTGTTGAATTTAGTAAAATCTTTTTCCATCGCAATATTCTAATATGCGGCTATTCTAGTCCAGTCTTCTTTAGTTCTCGGGCTGAATGTTTGCCCCTGATATGGATTGGATCGTAATATCGAAATTTGTAATAGTTTCCAAATTACGTATCTTGGTTCCAATGTACATATTCCTATGGGTTGATTTGTATTTCCATTAGCAAATATAGCTTTGAAACTCTCGGTTACTGGTTTAAAAATCTGCTGACATTATCCATTTATTCACTTGCATTATTTATTTTTTATATTTAATAATTGTTCTTAGGCTTGTATAATATTATCATTAGCTCAATGCGATTGTTAGCCTTTGAATTTATGCCTGTATATATATATATATTTTATATATAGATTTTTAAACATTTGCACTACTTTAGTATGCATTTAATTTATCTTAATTATTACATTTATGCTTAATAATTTAAGATTTAAGTTATTTTTATTGAATTATCAAACCCTTGTTTCACAAAAGGTCCTCTTTGCTTCGACAAGCTGTTCTGAATAGTGTGTATCTGGTGTGTGTGTGTGTAGTAGTGATAGTATCTGGAGTATATGCTAGTATTTCTGGTAGATTATAGGCCGAAGCTGCGGATAGTAAAAACTCACACGTCAAATTCGACAGTAGTGCCCTATTACAATAGGATGGGATATATTCTAAATAATGTGATATGTGAAAGGAAATCAAAACACTTTGAGAATTTGCCAGCAACAATATTGTTTGGCATTTTCATGTCTTCTTAAACTTTAAATTTTATTTCCTGATCTGATAAAAATCTTTTCTCAACAAAGCTCTGCATATTAATAATTATGAAAAATAGATAAATAATCAGGTGTTAGCTTAAACAAATATATTATTGTTGATGTAATAATAAATTAAAACTATAAGAATCGTTTATAAATAGCCTCTCCTAACTACTAATATAACATTTTTAAATAAATATCTTGAAATCATATTTTGGACACTGCAAGGCGGATAAGCACATATAGTATATCAGTGAAAATACTTCCATTTCGCTGATACCAACTTTTATCTCATTATTTCGAGACACAATCTCTTTCCATTGAGCTAGACTTTCGGGCTGGGAAACAAGAACATATCAACTAATAATGCAGGATAATGAAGGATGATTTCCAATTGGCTATGCCGATCTGCGATTATCAACATACCTATTAGGAAATAGAAGGCTTTCTTGGGCCTTCACCTTACTCTTTATCGAATACGAGAATGGTTGAGCAAACAATTGAAATTAAAAAAAAGAAGCTTTAGTTCTTTGTGATGAATGTTTCTGGGAATTATGTCAGATTAGAATTACATACATACATGGTTTAAATCAAAGGAGTAGTAGTTCCAGCACTTTTCCAAACTTCAACCGAATGTTTATATATGTATGTATGCATGTGTGTCTGCGTGTGTGTGTGTTTTTATATATAATTATTTTATTTTCGCTTTCATGTGCATTTAACGCTTGAGTTCATTGAATTCATTGGAATTTGTACTGCAATTTGCATGGGCCGTCGATTTTGCCATATAATTATCGAACAATATATTATTTGCTAGGCTTACTTATGTATGTATGTATGCATGTATATGATGTATACACACACACACATGCAAACATACATACAAATATGTATATAATGTATGCATGCATCTGTATGCACTTCTATGTGTAAGTAGCTTGGAAATAAAATGAGTGGCGACCTTGGCCACCACCCCCCGCCCCACCTATAGAATCGTAGATCCTAGCCCCATCTGCAATTGATAATACTTGCATGTGTATAAGTATGTGAGTACCGCTCTGCACGGGAATTTCTTCATAGTTTCCCCTTCTCTAATTTGGCTTAATACGTAGCTAGTTGGCATAGCTCTATGTACAGATTGGTAGTACGGATTAAAAATGCATAGCCACCATACGGTTATGGGGCTTATAAATACTCTCTAGTATTCTGGACAATTAGCTATTAGTATATCTGTGTATGTAGTATTCTGTAAGCTTATTGGCTATACTTGTATGATTTATTGTACTTAATAGGTATGTATGTATGTATGTTGTATATATACTCGTACACTTAATTTACTTGATCGAAGGAAACATCAGTTATTGAGACACAATACATAATCTATATCTATACCTTACGCGAACCGACAATATTATCGCTAATTAACTAATCAATACTCAGTTAGAGTGACTCGTAACGCCCCGACGGCATATGTATGTATGTAAGTGTATGTATATTTCTCTGGGGATGGCAAAACGAATGGAATCGGATATGGATTGTGTCCATTATAATTTCAGATATTGGAGTGACTATACAGTATAAGTTTCTAACGATAATGCGTATGTTTATAACACAGATAATTAAATTAGTAATCATATAAACACATGTCCACACATACATATGTACCATATGTATGTGTGTATGTTGTAATGAAATATCCTGAATCTCAGGAGCTTAAATATGATCTTTATCTTCCATTTTTAGGTTAGTTGGCTAGTGCCAGTGTGTGCGTGTGTCTTAGTTCTTAAAGCCAAACGTAAATAAAATATGTATGTATGTATATTATTTGAAGTCCAACAATTAAACAAATCTTTGCTATTTGATTCCGTAGAGCTCACTCCCCATCACAATCTGTATTTGTCATCGATATAATCACGGCTCGAATAAATATATATATTTATATATATTTGTTTGTATATTTACTTGTATGTACGTGTTTAGAGGAATTTAGAGTTGAAGTCAACTTAATACTTGTAGGGCGTTTCGCAGGTGTCTCGAAGAATTGGTGAAAATTTGGAACCTCCTTACTACTTTCACAAAGCAAAGTACTATAACTTCTAATGAAATATATATACTATATATATATATATTGAAAGAAATTGGGCTTTTTCGAAAATATTTGTCATTGGCTTTTTTATACAACGCACTCATGCGTCTTTATAATGGTACTGAGAGTCCAGCTACTAATTGAGAATTTGTACGCAATTCTCATTCTTTTAATTTGCATTTCCAAAGTCTGTCGAAATTGACAAAAAACTACATACAAGTATATAACGTTTCTTGTAGTTTAAAGTTAGTTAGTTTCTTGTAGTTTTAAGAGATATACCACCAGATTTTGCATTTTTACTTGTATCATCGACTTTCTATTGGTGTAGAAAATATATTGGATCAATCAAAAACTGTGCGGGTTAATTGGCAACTCATCGAATTGTATCGGAATCTCGGGCCATATCTAACATAAAATAAACATAAACATAAAATTTTCACCAACTCCTCGGACACTCTTCTGTTAGTTAATAAGAAAAAACTTTTCTAATCTAGGAGTATATATATATGCATTTATATATATATTGGTTATACTGGCTGCATGGTTCCTCTTCTTTAGTAACGTTAGGTGTAGTGTAGAGACGAACAAAACTATCGGAGTTAAGTACCACAAACAGATTTAGACTTAGTCAGCATAGTAATCGTATCTTAAAAACTCTATAATTACGCATATTGTGTATTGTGTGCATGTCTCAACTATATGCCTATAATTATGTATGTATATGTATATACTACTACTTCATTTATATCGCATGTCCTGAATCTGCTTGCTCATTTGCGAGTGCGAATATGGCGAGTGAAACGCGACATTTTTCAAATATCAACGCTTTTTCTGTTTCGTTTTGTTTGCTTTAGAATTTAGTTTTCCGTTTCTCTATTTTTACAAAATTAAATGCACAACACGTAACGCGTTAAATGAAATACTCTGTTCATGATTAAAACCGATTTCCGAAACCAACCAAGCCAATCCCAATATTCCAAATGCTTGGCAAGAATTCGTATCATAAGTTGATATTTAAAGCTTCCCTCAAATGGATCCACCAGCACATGGAGTGTTTCCCTTTCCCCAAATGGTCTGCGACGACGATCCCGATCCCGATTCCTATACTCAGCCCCACTCCATTTAACTGCCTGTTTGCTGTTCCTCTTTAATTTAGTCGCTTTCATTCCCTTCCCCTTCTCCCACCTAATGGTGGCACTTTGTGCCATCTACCTCTGATTCTAATTTTGAATCTTATTCTGCTTCTCAATATAGATCTGTGTCTATGAGTTATCCCTTTTTGTGCTCCATAGCTACATGCAACCGTTTTAGCCAACTGCCTCTCTTTCGAGCTGTAAACCCCCCGACCCATTGCCAACTCTGTTTCCCCCCTTACGGATATAGTTACATGTAACTATTGCTTGTTTGTTATCCAATGTCACGGACAATTTCGATCTTGTCGCACAGCTCTGAGTCTGGGTCGTGTATGGTTGTGAAGTGTGTGCGATCGCTCCGGAAAGTGTTCCGCTCATTGGAGCTCGTCTTGATGGAGCGCTCCGACGGCGTCTCTGTACCGCTCAGCTGTATGCGCTTCTGGAGCGCCGATACAAAATTCTGCGGAGAAAGCAAGCGTGTGAAGAACATATATTTAGAATTTTAGACAAATGTAGAATCGTAGAATTCGACATGAAGATTGGTCGAACTCACAAATAGCTGGATAGTCTATTTAAGTGGAATGTAAACGTTTTTGTAATTTATAGAGTCTAAATTCGACTTCAGTTCAAAAACTTCATTTCAATTTCCTCCTCTTTAAACACAATAACTTTTTGTTCTCAAATAAAAAAGACTAACCTATAAAATAGAACATAAGTGAGAATACCGCGTATCCAAACATTTCTCCGCTTCAGCCATTCAACCAATCGCTCCTATGACACAGCTATATGATTTTACAAATTTTTTTTTTATAAAATTTTACGCACTATAGGAAATTTAGAAATGCAAAACTTACTCCTAGTTACGATTTTAAAATAAACAACAAAGTTTTTGGTGCAAAGATTGGTTTTTCATGGCAGCTAGACGATATAGTGAAACAATTTTGAAGAAACTTCCGAATATTGTGAGTCACTACAAGTCCTATAAGGAGCAAATTTGGTTAAGACGGACGGACAAACATGTATATACTCTATATCGAGTCGTCCCGTCATGCTGATCATATAGATATGTGCCTTATCGTGTTATATGGTCTGCAAGGCTAGAGTTTCTAGTCTCTTTACCCTTCTCATACGAAATAGCTGGACGCTTACCTTAGCTGTACTTTTTAAAATTATATTTGGAATATCTGCATACACGTTGAGGTTCTATATTTGAGTCCTAATTTAGAACTGGAATTATAGGAATCATCGGAGTGAGATTGTATACTTGATTAAAATCCTGACTGATTCCAGTTCTTATAATATTGTTAGCTAGCGCTATAGAAACTTTACGAAATAATTGGAAATTGGACTAATTAGTTAAGCAGAATATTCTAAAATAAGAATAGTTCTGGTATAATGGAATTATCGGAACACGAATTTAGATTCCATATTGAAGTCCTAACCCTAAATCGCTCAAGGTCGAATCATTTTAATGATAGAAGCTTTTCGGAAGTTTAATCGTAACTAAAAGCGAAACGTTTACTCTGAAATAGGCCTGAAATAATGGAACTGTCGAGTTGCGAACTGAGAAATTCTTTTTCCGAGGCCTGATTTAGATTGCCCCAAATTCGATGGGACTCAACAAATCTTTGGCATTGCACAGATTATATATATTAAGGCATTGTTGCTATTGGAAAGTATGGAACGCACCTGTGAAATAATATCGCCGCGGGCCGTGCGGACCTGGTACAGATATCGGAACTTTCTCTGTCTGGCCTCCTCACGAGTCTCACGGGTGCGCGACTGGGCCCGCCGCATTGGCACGTGAGCATTGGCCGCTGTCTGCTGCTGGCTCTGTGGCAGATGATGGGCATGATGCTGGTGGTGTCGCATATAGACACGCTTGCGATGATCCACCCGCCAGGCGGTGATGAAGCACTGCACCATTATGCTAATAACGATGACCACGGGCCAGGCGGCGATCAGCAGGCCGCCGTAGCATGGCGGGGGTGCGGGCAGCGGCTTCATGTTCAGTATCTGTAGCGATGGTGGCATGCGGATTTATGAATTAAGCTGCTGTCTATGTCCATGGCTACAAAGAGATTGCTACTCACCCAGTTAATTGTTTCCAGCCCATGCATATAGAAGTCGATGGCGCTTATGATCATGGCAGTGCCAACGATGCTGGACGCCAATATAGTCACATATTTAACGCAGCAGAGCGTCAGCACCGAGCAGATGACGGCACCACCCACAACAGCAACGTAAATCTCGCGGTACTATTCGAAGCAGGGAGAGAGAGAGAGAGAGAGACAAAATCATTAGTGATGTAAGAATCGTCGACCCCGAATTGGGTTGAACTCACTCCGAACTCATTATCCGGCATTGTGGCGACACAAACGGCCATAGCGGCACCAGAGAGTAGAGCACCTGCGAAGGCGCTTATCAGTACGGATGCCACAGGATATGTGGAGCCCAGGACTGCGCCCAATAGACCCGCCACAATGGCCAGCGCCGAATCCGCTGGTTTGCCCAGCAGTGTTATCTGAAAGTCCTGCAGTATAAATATGCCATTTGCTCCGACAAGTAGACCGCTGAGAAAGCCCACGGCCCTCAGACAGCGATATCCTAGCAGGGCGTAGACAATGCCAAACACTGCAATAATCGCCCACAGCAGTGCAGCCAGAGCATCCGGAGCAGTCGGCGCGCATGTCGGATTCTCTAATATGCCCTAAAAATTGTAAATCAAATATTTAAAATATTACCAGTTCAGTCATATGTATAAATTCTTCAAAATGTGGTACATTTATCTTTTTTAATAAGAGTAGTTAATCCAATAGAGACGCTTTAAAAGCACATCATGTTATTACAATTGTTTTTGAAAAATGGAAAAATCTGCGACCCAAATGAGGTGCGTTGCTCCACCTGCCTTATAAAGGAGGACAGCTCTCTCTACGAGGACTGCATTATTTGCATAGAGTTTAAGAGCTCTTGACGAAGATGCTGCCATTTACTCCAGAATAGGGCTTTATTATCCTTGCAGCTTCCCCGCAGAGCTTGCATTCTTCATTCGCAGACAGATTCTAAGACACCGCTATGCGTATGAGGTCAGATGAAAGCTTAAGGCTGCTTTTTTGGAAATTCTCTAAACAAACTGTAGCCGCGAAGTATGCAACAATTTCTTGTTGTTGATGAAAGTGTGACGTATATGGTGTTCTAAATTGGTGACCCCGACTGTACTTGCTGCTCGCTTGCACATACAAGTATGTACGCATGCATGTGTTTGTGTTTTTGCATTTTTGCGTGTAATTCGATCAAGGACCACTTTAGGGTGGCTGCCCCCCATATGTTGGCGTACATATGTGATGTGTAAGCATGTATGTATGTATGTATGAGTATGTAGGTAGCCCTGACACGTTCGCACCCATTGCGGATGTGGCACATCCCCCTCTTAAGCATAATAAATATTTAAAATAAAAAAAAGTGACTCAATTCTCTTGGCTGGCTGCTTGCTGTTGACATACAAAGTACAAATGTAAATGGGTATGCATGTACTATATACATATGTACATATATGTTTATGTATGTATGTGCATTACAATGTGGCTTTAAAATTACATGAGTGGAGAGATGAGGGAGAGATGAGAGAAAGTGGTTTGGAAGACGCACCTTAATCAGGAAGGGCCAATCCACCTGTATGATATCCTTGGCATCGTCATGTCCATCATAGGCCACATCATAGTTGTCCATTGTGTGTACTGCGGTGCTTTCCACGCCTGCTGGCGCAACCCCACTCGCTCCCGCGGCCCCTCCGCCGCCAACTACCGCACTGCCTCTCATTGTGTTTGTGCTCTGTGGCGCATCGATGGGCGTGTGGAGGAAAAATCGTCGAGGAAGGCGTGACAGTTATTTTTTTTTTTGTATTTTTTTCTTTTTTCTCTTAATTGTTTATGCAATTGGATGGCTGTCGCTGTTTGTGTGCATCATGTTTGTTGTTCTTTTCATTTCACTATTTATTGTTTTGCACTCTCATTCCTATGCTGGCACGCACACACACACACACACACACATACACACACACCACCGCACATGGCAGACAGAGGCACAGCCTCTGCAGGTACTCTGGTACTTCTTCGTTTGTATGTCAACGTCAACGCTTCTGCTGCAGCTTAAAATGGGGCGGAGTTGTTTCGCATGTCCTGCACACTAGAAGGAGCCTTGCCATACACACGCACTCACACACACTGACATAGACACAGACGCACACACACGTCCTAGTAGTGGCTTTGTCGCAATCGAATTATTGTAGTTAAACCGTCACTGGACTGCAGTTAATATCTACACGTATATGTAATTTTATTTATTTATTTATTTCCTGTCTCCTTCCTGTGTGTTAGCAGGACCAGGCATTTTATTGTGTACACATATTTCGATAATGGCAGTCACAATCGGGGCCAAGACAAACTGGCTTGTGGTACAACAGAGCCACGCGCACTCCCTAACTAAAGGCGCGCGCTTTTGCGAGAGCGAGCTTACGCAGGATGCGACAGAAACAAAAAACGGACCGACCGACCGCCGACACCTGGGCGCGCGCATAACTATTTAACTCAGAAGCTGCAGTAACAGAGAGCGGTATGAGAGAGCGTTGCGAGTTCAACCCCAAAGCAAGGGGCGAGTAAAGAGCTTTAAGCCTAGCATGTAAAAAAGCTTCTCATTACTGTAAGCTTACATTTAAAGTTGGCGTCAAAAATCAAGTATTTATGAAGTAAGTTTAATATTTATTAATGCCGCAAAATAACAGTTACTTATATACTTATAAATGTATAAGCCCCCCTCCATTTGCAATTGCATATGGTGCCATAGTTGTGGGCCGCGAATTACACAATAATTAAAAAACTTGGATCAAAAAATAAAAATGTACAATACTTATTTGCTAAGAACAAGACTTTCTTTAATTTTGAAAATGTTGGGTAATACTAATCATTAGTACTAAAAATTAAAAATAAAATTCAATTTGTTCGTTTTGCTTATAATACTTTTATTTTAAACAAGATAGAACGCTACCGTCGAGCAAACCCGACAGTAATACCCTGCACTCTCCACAAAAAAGCAAAATAAAAAAAAAACATTGAAAAAAATGTAATTAATTTATTAATTAAAATTAAATGTTTGATTGAATAATGCACGATGCATTTAAAAAATAACTTATGTATATGATTAATGAAAAAACTTCAACAAATCCAACTCAGATCCATTTTAAGGCGAAATATTGCTTCTTAATAATGAACGTGTGGTCGATTTTATATGGTAAACTTTTTTGCCTGTCCACATGCTAAATGAGTGGGTGAGGCAAAAACGTTCGTTTTAGAAATATTTACATACTTGTACATAAGTGTTGCTTTGCATGAATTTTTTTTTTTAATTTGTACCCAAAGGACAAATGGTGTATTAGCTTAGTGCGATATTTGTATGTAACACAAAGTATATATATTCTAGATCTTATGATAAGACGAGTCGATTTAACCATGTTTGCCGTCCAAGAGCTTAATTAACCCAAATTGGTATTCAGGTTCCTCTAAGCTTAGGCAAAACAAGTTAATGTTTTTTTCTTCTGATGTACGGCCTCACTCGCCCGCTGCTAGTGATTTTCTATAGCTTCCAAAATTCATGGAAATGACAATTATCTCCTGTTGGTGCATATGTGAATTATTAATAAAGTTATAGCCATTCCATTCTTGTTATGTTTCTATTGGTAAGTCCAGTGCTAGGGAAGTTAAAAAATCGTTTGTGTATTAGAAAACGTATTTCAACACTTTTTTTTATTGTAAACGCTTATCAACCCTTTTCAATTGTCATTTAATTTACCCCCGTAGAAAAGTTTTGCCATTATCTACACGGCCTTCGGGCCAACAAGATGTGTGATTTTAAGTTTTGTGTTTTTGAATTTTTACTTTAATTTTAATTTTATTTTGATATTCTTTCAATGGGATTTATAAGCAAGGACAGCGACCGCGAATGCAACGATTTTTTTTAGTTTTCAACCGTTTTAATTGCAATTAATAATTTTCCATATTTTATTTTATTTAATATATAATTATTTATTTATATTTATTTATTTAATATCAGAATTAATTAATTGTTTACAATTTAATTTTTGTTTAAGTTCGATATTTTATTTTATTCTCTTTTTACAAGCACGCCAGAGCACAAAAAGAGTCCATCTTTTTACCCAAATCCCTTGGTTATCGAAATCAGAAAAGTTATACTGTTTGTACGTTTTTTAACCTCCTTATTTCTTTTTATTTGAACTATGTCATTCCTAAACATATTAATCTTTATCTATCTCATAAATGTCCGGTAAATGTATGCAGTATGTTGTTACTGGACAGTCATATGCTGATACCAACATAATTAATTAATTGTTTACAATTTATTATACCCTGTACCCAAAGGGTAAAAGGGTATTGTATACTAGTTTTGTGCGAATGTATATAACAGACGGATAAATGTGTGTCGACCCCACAAAGTATATACATACATATATTCTTGATCAGGATGACAAGAGGAGTCGATATAGCCATGCCCGTCTGTCCGTCTCTCTGCCTGGATCTCCGAAAGTATACGTGCTGGAATTACCAAACTTGGCATCCAGATTCTCCTAACTTAAGCTGTGGGTGAAGTAGTGATTGAAACAGACAGACGAACGGGCGGACAATGCCATTTCAATTTGTCTCGTCATGCCGATCATATACATACATATGTATGTACGTGTGATCTACCACGCTTCCTTCTAGCTGTTATAAACAATATACCCTTAAACTTTTTACTGACAAAATCGGGTTTGCTTGATAATTCTTCTACGTACCACGGACAAAAGTACACAATTTTTTCAACACAAAAAATTAATCATTTTAGACTATTTTAATAAAGTTTCTAGATAAATAATAGATTTCAAATACATCTACATAACCAGAACTGATATTTGACGCATCCCCTGGAAATAATGCTTATCAGCGCCAAAAAGTCAAGAGTCGTTGAAGGTCCCGAATACTAAGAGCATGCAAAAACAGCCGGGTGAGAGTTTTATGTTTCTCTCCTATACTTCATTTGAAGTTTGTATACTTATTAATTCGTTGAAGTAGTATTGCTATATGTTTTATGTGCTTGAACAATATCGATAGCGATTAACTTAAGTACATAAATGTACCATGCAGTTTTAAGATTGCACGAGAAAAGCCAAAATAAAGTACGTTTGGTCTGAATTTTAGAATATAGTGTTTCTATAAATGGATATTTTTCCATAAATCCAATAAAGGCATACACATGATAGCACATTTCGTAAATAAATGTGACAACAAAGTTGAATTATTAATTGAATAATTAATTTCTTAATCTTTTTGGAACCGCATCCTTATCAGCCAGATCAGGACGCGTAGTTGCTGCCTCGTTCGCAGACGCCTTCAGATTCTTTAAATGGACTTCGATGTGCTGCTCCGTTTCCTTCTCAGACAACGATTCTTTATCATTTGGTTAAATTTGTTTCTTCTTTCGTTGCACAAATATAGTATTTATGAAGACTGTTTTTAGTATGGAGACCAGTTAAAAATGTGTTAGATCTAGTGCAACAACAACAACAAAGGCCCACTTTGTTATGCATACTGCAGCTCTTTAGGTTCGAAAATCAAATGGATAGCCATTATGGTTAATTCTTAAAGGTAGTGCAGAATTATTTAGATTTATTGTACCATACATCAGAAATAGCACACACAATTGTTTTATGGGTTAAATGTATATTTATAATTATTATTCAATTTGTTGCTAGACACATGCACACATATACATAAGTAGGTATGTTTTTAGTTTTGTAGATACATTTATAGTATGTAATCGTATATGTATGTAGAGCCATGGTTTGGAATGCAATGCTCTGTGCTGAGTCCATTGAGGTCTCGACCTGGAAATCGATGATCAGCTCATGTACTACATGTTGGTATGCAGATGTAACAGAATTATATGCGAAAACGAGTGTACGTGTATATATGTGTGTGTTGTAAGACACAATAAGATAATACATAGATAATGGTTTATATATTGTAAATATATATGTATGTATATTCATAATAATAATAGTAATAATATATATGCGTCGCTACGAATTTTCTTGCTCTAATTGAGTTTAACACTTTTAACATATGTATGTTGCAACACGAAAAACATCATTAAAACCTACAATTTCAAATTGTTATTGTTGATGTGGGGTTGGTGTGGTTGGTCGTGCCGATTGCTTACGGTGAACGAATGATGGCCTCGTATGCGGCAAATATGATGTTCGCCACTTCCACGGACCGCGACTTGAGGCTTAGTGTGGCATCTGGATTGCCTGGCTGGAGCTTTAGCTCGAGCAACACCCAAATGTTATTGGTAAGCTTCAGGGATTGATATAGCATGTCCTGGCCCTCCACATTGCGCTTAGCAATGGTGAAAATGTTGTTTGTTGTCATTTTGGAGGCGATGCCGTCTGTGGTGCCAATGACGCCGCTTAGGCTGTATTGCAACTCATTGGCGGCCGGAATTTCCTTCCAGGTGTTGAGGAAGACCCGCTTATCCAATTGGCCGTCCTCGGCAAAAAGAACGTTGCCATGAACCAGACATGCAAAGTAAAAGATGTCGATGTTGTTCTTCACCGCCACCTGCAGATTGTTGAGTGGTTCCATGCGCTGTATCGGTCCGTTGGTGCCCAACGCTAGGCTCACCTCAGCGCTCTGATTGGGCGGCAATGGTGCCGCCTGTAGAGGTGACGATGGCACCAGGCCGAAGCTGTTCTTATTTAGCTGTATGGCGAAATTAGTCATTGGCTGCATTGCTTTGTTCGTCAGCGTCATGTCCATGAAGATCTCGCCATTGCGTCGTGAGAATGTGCCCTGTATTTCGAGACCCTTGCCCTTTTCAGCCGGCAGCCAGGTAATCTTGGGTATTTGCACGCCTACAGATAACGAAGTGCCAGATAGGCCAAAGATATCGCCCAGCAAGCTGGTGGCCCCACCAGGCGCTGGCTCAGCTGGAGCACCAAGTAAAATATCTAAACCACCGCCAAGCAAATCAACATTGCTGGTGGTAGCGGGAGCAGCGGGAATGGTCGGTGCGTTTATGTCCATCGACAACAAGTCGCCGATTAGAGACTCCTGATTAGGTATAACCATGGCCTCGGAACCGACGGCTTCGTTTTGTTCGGCGTTGCTGCTGGTGCCGGTCGCCCGATTTGGCAGAGACTTGCGCACACCCGCTCCGCGTCCTTCTACAAAGGCTGTCGGTGGCTTGTGATAGACGCTTGCCAGCGAACTAATATGGCAAATGAGCTCATCGAGAAGCGTCGGCTCTAGTAGATCTGTTTCCTCGGAAATGAGCGGCTTGTCAGCCAGCACCACTTCCTTGGCTGCGGCCGGATCAGTGGACAGCAGCCGCCAGTAAATAAAGCCGCGGTCACGCAGATCGGGATTGTCAGAGTCTTGTGTGGCGAGTGAGAGCACGTGCTGCACCAGCTCCTGCGTATCGGATGGACGCTTCAGGAATAGTTTGACGACGGCTGTCAATAGTTGAAGCTGCACCTGTGCGTTTTCATCTTGGAAGCCCTCCAGGAAGCTGTCCAGCAGTTCATCAGCATTATCAATTCGCTCCGCATACTCGCCAATGATCCAAACCATCGAGGCACGTGCCTCTGGTTCGTCCAGTGTGTCCAAATTCTCGCACAATGTGCTAATGATGCTTTCGTATTTGTTGGGATACTTGCGGAAGATGTCCTTAATGACCACAATGGCCTCCTGCACCACATAGTTAACCTTGGTCTGTATAAGATCTAGCAGTGTGGACACGCACCGTTCCGCCGAGGGCTCCACCTTGATGGCACAACGGCCAATGGCTCGCACCGCCTTCCGAACAAAATCAACGTCCACTTCGGTGGCGTACTCCTTGAGTTCGCTGAGCACCTGAGCAATGTTGCTCTGATTGGCCAGGCGTATCATTATGTCCAGTTTCTCAAGCTTCACGTAAATGGGATCGTTGTATTTCACAAAGAACACTTTCATCTCGTGCTTAAGGATATCGGGTCGCTTCTGCACGATTAGATTTATGTTGCGCAGGGCCACATATTGTACTTCTGGCTCCGACGATAACAGGGTTACTAGCGGTGGCGCCAGCTTCTTGGTGAGCGTGGCACAGAAGTCGCTGTCGCTGGACAGCATTTCGAGTAGCTTCATCAGTACCTTGACAGCGCTGAGCACGACGGCAGCATTAGCATGAGCCAAACGTGGCGTAATGCGTTCACAAATCGATTGCGCTTCGCGCTCGTCCTTGGGGCTGTAGTTTGCTAAAGAATCCAGAATGAACACCTGACCCCATTCGGTGCATTCATTAAGCGCTGTTAGCAGTTTGTTGATTGTCACCGAATTCATCTCTACGAGCGGCTGACCCGACTGGCTCGCCTCGTTAATCTCGCTCAGAGCTGCAACTGCATTAGCCACAACCATTGGGTTCGAGTCGGAGAGGAGGTCTTTCAGCTGATCCAGAAAACCCTGGTCCTCGACCATGGTGGCCGAGATATCGTATAGCTTGGCAACGCACACCGCTGCCGTCTTGCGAACATATGGATCCTCATCCTTCAGGCATTTTCGCAATGGCTCACATAAATATTCAGTGATTTTGTCTACGCGTATGCAGCCCATGGTGCGGACGGCAAGTGCCCGTATTAGCGGATTTGAGTCCTCACAGTCCTTCACAAACGTATTCACCGCCATGATGGCCATGTCCGGTTGCGATTTGGCGTAGTTCATTAAATACAAATACACCAGCTTCTTGAGCTCGAGATTGTCGGTCTGCATGCAGTTGACAACGTCAGGGAAAAGTGCGGACACATCTTTGCCCACAGTCATGCTGGCGATGACCTTCTTCACGGCCTCCTTCTTCTTCTCCTTCTTGTCATTATTTAGCTCGGATTTCAGCTCGAATATCTCGCCTTTTTTGGTGGTCGTGAAATACTTTGAATCGGTCATTTTGCGATTGTTCTCACACCCGGCGCTTGGAACTAGCTTTAAAATACAGAATAATTGAAATAATTAGCAATATCCTATTATATTCATATTTATTTAAGCTCAGTAACTACACAATTAGATAGTTCACTAAAACGCAGAGCCAATGCGAGAGTCGAAGTCAACAAAAAATATGATATTGATTTGATGTCAATTCCTGGTAGGGGCGTTTGCGGAGCACCCACACCTACACACACGCACATATACAAAAACTTAATCATGCTAAGCTTGAACACGTCTCAGTTTTATGAAGTGCTATGGCAAAATTGTATGCAGGCGCCCTCTTCAAAACTTCAATTGCCCTAGGCATATTTTTATATAATGGATACACCTAAGATATTTACCTCTTTTTAAGTAATTTTCGCAGACACAAAAATTGTTGGTTTTTCTTTTCACAATTTACCCAGAACAGAATAGCGTTGCCAGCTTCGGTCGCTGCTCACTTATAATCGGTGTCGGCAGTTCCAACGCGATCTGGCAGTACGGACACTGGTTCATGAATCTCATGCATGCCTGCGCGAAAATGGAATGGCATTTGAATTACACCTAATTCAGTTTTTACACGGTAGATTGGTTCCAGAAACAACCGTGTAAAAAAATACGTTGATCATATGCAAAAGTAGGTGATTGGTTCCTTATCTCTAAGGAAATAAATATGCAATTTTTTATTTTTAAACCGTGTTATATCAAAATCGTGTAAAAAAGACCGTGTAAAAACAGAATTAGGTGTATATGAGATATATGTATATATATAAGTTAAATATTAGTTAAATTGTTTCAGCTTCCATATTTGTGTATTTCATTTTGTTTTTTGATAATATAAGTTTAAGCTAAATACAATTGTATTCTTTCTTATTAAGTTTCCTACTATATGCGCAAATTTCATATTAAAATGGGAGGATCCTGTCTACATTTTTGTAGTTCCCTTTAACCATATTTTTTGCAGCTATTAGCAAAAAAAGTGTGAAATTTTTAATTTATTTGATTCCTTTTTTGGCTATTGAATCTGAAATTTAGAATTTAAAAAAAAAATGTATTTGAACGCTACACAACGTTCATTCCCCAATAATAAATATAAGACGACATATTGAATATCCTAACAATTTTATTTTATAATATTCTCAAGAAATATCATTTAATAAGTTATTAACACATAAAACAAATTAAGAGTAGTATTTGAATAAAAAATGTTGTTCCTTAATTTTTAACATCGTTTTGCTTGTTGGTTGTTTGTTTGCTTTTTCATTTATCGATCCATTGAAATATATATATATATATATATATATTTTTTTTTTTGCTTTAATCTTCTTTGTTTTGTTTTAGTGGTTGTGTATTATTAATACATCTTTGTTTATTACTACATATATATATGTACATATACATATGTGTGTGTGTGTTTATATATGTATATACATATACATAAGTGTGTATATATATACTTTTAAAATAGTTGTATTTTAACTTCTTTCATTTCAACTCCTTGTTGCATTTTTATAAATTTTTATAAATAATCAATTTCAGAATAATTTCAAAATTTTGATGCTTCATTAGTAAAAGTTGTAAAGTCGCTATTACACTTAATTATATACATAGTAAGAATTAAAACGGTATGTATGTAATTATGTATATACTTTAAATGTTATATTTACATTAATCCATAAACATTAAAATAAATCATATTTAGTAATTCAGTCTTATGAAACAAATAAAAACTTAGGTACATTACATTCAGCAGGAAAATCAATCAATCAATGCAATCAATTAAATAATGTTTATTTTGTTGCTTTATTGCTGGTTGCTGTTGGTTGCTTATCATCTTTTTTTGCTGTCATTTTTGCTTTGTTGCTATTGCTGTGATGTTGTTGTTGTTGTTGTTTTAAGGTTGTCCTCTCCGATAATACATACATACAAGTAATTTAAGCAATAAACAATTAAACCTCCTCATTCATGTTTCTGTGCTTGCAGACCACACTTGTGGGGTGTGACTCTTGACATTAGAAGCATCGACCCAATGTTCCCTGTTTTGTTTTGTTTTGTGTTATTTGTTCATTTCAAGAAAAATGCATAGGTTTTTGTTTTAATTAACGGAAGCTTCCTGGTTTCTTTTCGCCTTAGGAATATGTCTGTGTAGTTGTTGTTGTTGTTATTGTTGCTATTGGAACTGTAGAAAATCTATGTATAATACGTTTGTATTTTGTCATTCTGTAGTTAACAATAACTTGGTGGTATCAGAACCGAAAGGTGGAAGACCAAACTATTAGCATTACGCCCATAGTGATCCCAAACTTTACAAAAATGTATGTACTCGTATGTAGAATACTTACATATGTATGTTTCGAGCTCGGTCTACTCAATATGGTTTCAATTCAAATTCGTATTTTGTTTGCTTTTCAATGGTTGGATATGTTAACACTTAATCGTTGCAGGCTTAAAAACTAGTTTTCTTTATTATTCGTTTTTAATCCATATTCCTGTGTGTGTGTGTTGGTTGTGTGTGTTTGCGTGTGCTTAAATATTTTTGTACAAATTGTTTATGTGTTTTGTGGTTTTTAATTTGAACAATATGTTAGCCCAGTCAATAGAATATTGATACTCTAACTGAAAATCTATAAAGAAATTCCAAATGATTTGTATTTTTAAACTTAAACGAACAGCACGATGAGTGATGCTCTCGAATCCAATTGGGTTGATCATCAGACCGCGATTGGCTAATATCTAGTTTCTTTTTCGTATTTAGTAGTTGGTCCGAAAAATCTCTATTAAAGAGAGCACATTTAAGCCGCCAATATCCGTTACCGAATGCTAACGACAGAAAATTGTGTGGAGCTGTGCATTTAATAACAATATACTAAGGAGGAACTAAAAGGCTGAAATTTTGGGAAATGAGAGCACCGCCTAACCGCTCCAACATATGCTTAGTTCAGATGCATTTGGCACTCAAAGTGAATGGATTATACATATATGTATATTTATTGGTTGAAATCAGCAAAACTGAACTGAATCATTAAGCAAATAAGTAATCTTAATAAGTGCAATAGAAACATAATGGCATTTTAAAATGCATATATATTTGGTATTGGAATTATCGAGTTATGTAGCTTTGAATATATATTACTTATGTACATACTCGTATATGCACATATGTATGTGGCGAGTTAACGTGAATAAAATTTGTAATATTTTAACAACGGCAACTGTTTCAGGGTATGTATGAATATTTTTTTTTAAATTGGGGCCAAACAAGTCACTTACTTGGATAACTTTGATAACTTTTAACCCACAATGTACAATACAAATATGTATGTACATATGTATGTATGTATGTATGTACTATGTAAGTATGTTGTATGATGATTTAAGCATAATTATGTAAATAAGTTTGCTATTAATAAATATTTATAGCATGAAGTTAGTTTAAGTTTGTTTGTTTTTGTGTTCAAATCTTTGGTATTCGATATTTCTTAGTACTTTATAGATCCTAGCAATATACATACAACAGCTGCCTTTAAGTTTCGAGTATGTGCCAGTATAGGTTTGTACATGGGCTGTATATACATATAGTATGCATCTATGTATGTCTCTTGGCTTTGTTCTTGTTATTGTTATTGTTACTGGTGCTCATTTGTAATCCATACAAGACTCGTATTAAACGCTTACCTCTTGTTACATAGTAATATATAGTATTATTAGTAGAAAATAAATAAATATTAATTGTAAATTGCATAAAATGTAGTTTAAAATATACATATACATATGTGTATTTCTTTTCATTTTTGTATGTATTTTGTATATAAAGTGGAAAAACGTATGCATGTTGTATATTAATGTATGTACATAGTTTGTATGTATAGATATTTGCTTTTGTTTTGGTTTTTGATATATTTGGTTTTCACATTAAAGTTGCAATAGTTTAAATTTAAGTTTTTTTTATGGCGCTTGGTTGCGTTACATACATATGTTGGTAAGATAAGTTAATTATTGAGTTACAACATATACGAATACAGTTTTAAAATGAGTTTAGCGCGAGTGCCTAAAATAGAAATGATAACATTTTGAGTACTGTACCATAACGAGAGTACATAATGCACATAGTAACGATATTGACAATGAACACTATAATACATAAGAGTGTTAATTAATAATCAAGTATGTTTGTATGTATGTATGTGCAACAGTAGAGAAGGGTTTCCTTTGGAGTTTAGTATGCCATTTTCAATTTATTCTTCAATTATCATTTATTTTTGTATATGCTTCTATAGTGTGCTTGTTGTGCCAAGATTCGTGAAGAACGCAATAAGAATAACAGTGCTGTTGAACACATTTCTTGATGTCTCTGACACTCCACGGACGATCTGGCTCCACTCTAGCGTATACGCAATATCGTTGCAGCCTGTATATCGATATCATTTATTGATTGTGATTCGTTATCGGCGCCGAATTCGCTTCGAACTTTGGTCACCGCAAGCACAGCTTTTCCGTGTACATATGTATGTATGTATGTAAGTGTGTTTCTTTGAATGTGTCGATGTGTGGGTGCGTGTGGGTTTGTGTAGATGTGTTCGTGTATAAAATTACAATGTTGGGCGCACACACTTACACACTTTAAATATATGTATGCATGTGCTTGTATATAAATAAGGGCTCTTGTTTTTCGCACATATGCAACTAGTATTGAATATTTATAGCATGTACAATATTATTCATGTACGGTATGTACATATATTATATAAATGTTACAGTATAATAAATAGCTGCATTTAACTTGTTAATTTAGTTTTTTGGTTTCCTATTTGCACCATTGTGCCACTTTGGTACGCTTATAGTATATGTATGTATGCATGTATATGTAATTATAAATTAACATTTCAAAAATACATATTTTCATTTCCTCTACTTTGTATCTATGTATATATGTATGTATATGCAAGCAGGGATATACATATGTATGTGTGTGTGAGTGTGTGTGTTATAAATTAGATTAGCCACAAGAATGGACAACATTGTGGATCCCCAGATTTAGTTTGGAGCTGTTATTGTTATCCTTGTTGTTGCCATACTAAAAGATAACACAGCACAGTTACTTCTGATAACTGATAAATGTATTTGGCTTCGCTTGACTTGACTTGATTTGAATATCGTTTAGGCTTGGATAAAATTTTGAAATGTTTTATAACCTTTACATTATCAAATGATGCAATTTAATTTCACTTTAGCTGTTATTTAACTAATATTTCATATACATTATTAATAATTATCGTCATTTAAAACTAGCGTAACCAATAACCAATCAATATATATATGTATACTATACATATATATATATATATATATATATATATATATATATATATATATATATATATATATATATGGATATATATACATATACATATATATTTAATGTTTTTTTTTTTTTTTTGTATTCATGCATTTGTGTGTGCAGCTACAGTGGAGCTTCGAGTGGTTGCTATTTCCCAAATCTGTACAATCGTGAGGCTAGCTAACAAATTGGCGTTTTAACTAAGCAGAATGGTAAATAATTAAACATAGATAATTACGAGTAGGCATGTTCCCGTTTCCGAGCTCGATCCCATTATGCGGAATCGAAATTGGTAAATTGTTTCAATTTCAAGACACTATTCCAATTGAAACAGAACAACTCAATCCTTTTCAGATATGGGCACACGTATGTATCAATTCCAATTCCCCACAATTCCAAAATGAAATATCGTAGCAGACTTGAGTAATCGTAAATGAATTGTAACATAGCTAGCTACTTATTGAGTAAGTGCATCGTTTACATACAAAAAAAAACTTAATGCATGTATGTATATATGTCGGAAAACTAATCGGTAGATCAAAGGCGAACTGAAGTTCCACTGTAAGCTGCGTTCAATGCATGTACTATGCATATATACATACATATGTGTGTATGTGTATATATAGGCATATGGCTCTTCCATATACAAACAAATATTTCGTTTAATTTCCATACCGAATATATCCACACATACATGCGCATGTATATATGTAGTATTTGTAAGTATATCTGCTAATATATTCTCACTTAGTATGTCTAATCATATGTACAGGTAGGTAAGTATATATATATTTGTATATGTATGTATGTATGTGTGTATGAGTATTCATCTTCTTGGGATAGGTTTAGGTAAAAAAGCTTGTGTACAGGCATGCTGGTACTTGTGGGTAAGTGGGGGAGCAAGGGCTCTTCAAAACATTACAAATTTTTCACACAGGTCTATTACACACACATTACTCTCTCTCTCTCTCTCTTTGTGTCCCTCTCAATCCCTAATCCTCTGTTTCTGTTCTTTGTTTATCACTCCCAAGCTGCATTTTGGAATAGTATGAATTATAAAAGTACTGTCCAAATATGTATTTGGAAATATTTGATATTAGGTCAACTGAAATATGTATATACTGCTTTTATTTGGAAAGCACATGGCGGCCAGCCTAATCGTCCCACGTCGGAAACTGATTCTCATCCACGAACATACTGAATTGGCCAGTATATTGATGTTCCCTTTGGCCAGTACCGCTCGGGGCGCTTCCGGCGCTCGCATCTTTCGAGCCTGTCGCACCGCGCGTTTTGTCGCCACCAGGTGCTGGTTTCGGAGGCCCTGAGTTTCGGGCGGACTTTGTCGCATTCGCCGCATTTCTTGAGCTGCCTTGTGTGCTCGTAGTCGACGATTTACCATAGTTATACCGTTGTTCTGAAAGTAAATCTGCATTTTAGGTCACAAGGAATCTTTAATTGTCAGAGTAGGTGCCTTTCCTTTTAATTTCCCCTAGAATTTTTAGCTATCCGTAGATCCTAAACATTTTACTAAAATAGTGAAAACGCGTATTTATGGGACAGCATCACAAAAACCCACTTTGAAATTCTAGTCAACTTCTGCTTCATACAAGATTCAAGTAACACGAGTACGAAATATAATTATATACCCTATGTACCAAATGGTATAGAATTTTCCATTATATTTCCCTGAGTGTGATTTGTTTCCTATTCAATACTTCTATCATGCCTTTAGTTATAAACGTTATTGAAATTGTATATGTTTCTTGATCATATAACGGAGCTCTATAGTTGTTCTAGATACTCCTACTGATATAAAGCATAAGGGTAAGTAAATTGCGACTTAAATATTTAAAAAAAAAGTACGAATCATATGGACGAATTGTAGTTTTACTTACTCGATGGCTGCTTGACCTCTTTGCTGGCCCAGACGGGCTCATGCGCTTGGTTTATGTAGGACTGCTGATCCCAAACGGCCTTATCGTCCACGTTTTTGCTCTGAAGAATGAAATGGAATGGCATGAAATACTATAGAATGGAATGGAACAGCTGGATTAAATCGTAACCTACATAGTCCTTTTCCACATGCAGCTCCATATCGTCGCTGGGCTCGAGGCTGCTGTTCGTGATGCCGTAATAGAAGTACATGACAAGACCGAGCGACATCCAGACTGTGAATCTAACTAGGGTCAGTATGCTTAGCTTAAATATTAAATAAATATTAACAGTTATTGCGATAGCCGGAACAAATGGAAGTCCAGGCGTTAGAAACGCGAGTGCATATCTGTGAATGGCAAAGAAGAGATGTCTTTAGACCAGACCGTACAGGGTGCAAAAATATCAATATAGCTTTACCTATTCTGTGGTTGTCTCGATATAATCAATAATATCACAAATATGGCGATAAATAAAATAATATAAATGAATGCGGCGAAGCCACCGGACCAGCCAATGGCCGCAAATAAATCCAAGAAGAATATGAGACCGAACATGATTCCAACAAGTTTCGTGACATACATGCCTGGTTGTGGTTGGTTGGTTGGTTGTTTGTTTGTTTTGAAGAATTTTGTTGATTGGTCGGTGACGATGGCGGTTCGATTCGGGAGGAAACAAAGAAATGAAGAAGCAAAAGAGAATTGCAAATACAATATACAAGAATTTCGAATTTGGACTACAGATCGGAGTATGAAGATCATTATCATTTCACTACATGATGATCAACACACTTCGCAATCCCAACTCGTTCTCTCACTCACTCACTCTCTTTTTCTCTCTCTCTCAGTCTTTCTATAAATTTTACAACATACCACTTTCAGAGGTTGCCTGGCCAGGATTGATCCAGGGAAAGAAGCCGGGACAAAGATAGGCATAGTCGTGTATCTTGCGTGTAATGAAGTTCAAGCCCATGGTGTCGAAAGCTGTCGCTTGACCCGTGGGTCCGGTGGGTGCCCCATGAACGCTGCCATAAAATTTATTCTCTGAGCGATCGGACACTAAAAACTGATCGTCCCGTCCCAAATAGCCCTCGGGACTATCGTCTATGAACGAATCGTCCGAGTCGGACATGCCTCGAGTCACTCGCTTGATGGTCAGCTTGGTCGGCTCGAGCACCTCTGCGGGCGTAGCATGAGGGTCAGTTGCCGTCCCGGGCGCCAGTGGTGTACGCAATTGAGCGGGCAGCAGCTCCACCAACGATGTACTATGGGGTTGATAGCGCAGCACCAGCACGCACGTCGACACCAGCGTATAGGCGAGTAGTGTGCCAATCGACATCATCTCCACAAGAATTTCAAGACGCACGGTGAGGGCCACTAGTGCCGCAGCCAAACCGCTACCAATGGTGGCCAGACCAGGCACATTTGTGCGCTGCCACAGCTGCGAGAGTTGCCTGCAAATTGTTGAGCACATCATTGCCACCATTCCGTCCTAAAGGGATTTTATAACGCGATTTATGAACTCACCTGAAGATCAAGCCGTCCTGGGCCATGGCATAGATGACGCGTGGCATTGGGAACATGGAGCCAAACATAGCTACGGAAAGACCAGCTGTGGCCCCAATCGCCACCACTGCCCGACATTTGGGCGCATTCACGTAAGACCACATTTGCACCAGTGCCGCATCAGAATTTATGTGATCGTAGGGCACTGCAAGATGAAACAACAAAAGTCTCCCCTTTCAGTGCCGAACTACTTTCAAAGTAACACGTTTTTTAGTCCCAATGATGTAAGAAAGACTTAGAAAGTCTCCCATTTCAGTACCCAACTATTTTTAAAAAATCAAATTTTGTATTCTCAATGATGTAAGAAAAGCCCTAGAAAGTCTCCCATTTCAGTACCCAACTATTTTTAAAGTAACACGTTTTGTAGTCCCAATGATGTAAAAAAGTCTTAGAAAGTCTCCCATTTCAGTACCCAACTATTTTTAAAGTAACACGTTTTGTAGTCCCAATGATGTAAAAAAGTCTTAGAAAGTCTCCCATTTCAGTACCCAACTATTTTTAAAGTAACACGTTTTTTAGTCCCAATGATGTAAGAAAGACTTAGAAAGTCTCCCATTTAAGTACCCAACTATTTTTAAAAAATCAAATTTTGTATTCTCAATGATGTAAGAAAAGCCCTAGAAAGTCTCCCATTTCAGTACCCAACTACTTTCAAAGTAACACGTTTTTTAGTCCCAATGATGTAAGAAAGACTTAGAAAGTCTCCCATTTAAGTACCCAACTATTTTTAAACAAAACAAATTTTGTAGTCCCAATGATGTAAGAATGTTGTAGAAAGTCTCCCATTTAAGTACCCAACTATTTTTAAAAAATCAAATTTTGTATTCTCAATGATGTAAGAAAAGCCCTAGAAAGTCTCCCATTTCAGTACCCAACTATTTTTAAAGTAACACGTTTTGTAGTCCCAATGATGTAAAAAAGTCTTAGAAAGTCTCCCATTTCAGTACCCAACTATTTTTAAAGTAACACGTTTTGTAGTCCCAATGATGTAAAAAAGTCTTAGAAAGTCTCCCTTTTAAGTACCCAACTATTTTTAAAGAAACAAATTTTGTAGTTCCAATGATGTAAAAAAGTCTTAGAAAGTCTCCCTTTTAAGTACCCAACTATTTTTAAAGAAACAAATTTTGTAGTTCCAATGATGTAAGAAAGTCTTCCTTTTCAGTACCCAACTATTTTTAAAGTAACACGTTTTGTAGTCCCAATGATGTAAGAAAGACTTAGAAAGTCTCCCTTTTCAGTGCCCATCTATTTTTAAAGTAAACAAATTTTTTAGTCCATAGCAGACTTCCACATATAGTATAAGACATGGTGAAGAATTCATCCACACGTCTACTACGTTTTAATATTCCAGCTGTACAAGCTTGGTGTAAACTTGGCTAGCTTAGAGTAATATTTACAATAGAAAAGAAAGAGTGAAGCCATTAGGCTATCAATGCTGGTGATAAGACACGAAAAGAACACGACTTACAGGTAATTTTAGATTCAGAAAACTCTTACAACTTTTCTAATTACAAACAATTTCCGAACATTTGTGGAAGAAAAAAGCGTGTGATTTTGTTGAAAAAAAAAGCCCTAAAATAATCAGAGGTTGGCAAAGCTATATGCTATTTAGCATAATCACTGATTATTTTAATGAATTTATTATTGTTACTTTTTTCGTCATCCACTACTTTGGTATTTAAATTGACAGTTCTTGGACGTGCTTCGAAAAAATATGCAAGAACATTTTCGGAACGGTCTAAAAATTCTACTCGAATGAGGAAATGTGGTTTCCAATTGTAGTTTGGAAATTTTCACATATTGAACTAATGAGAACAGGTGCGTTTATATTCTAAAACCAAAACGTTCGATGCTTAAAAGATTTTTTAATTATTCCTTATTTAATTAATTGACTTGGATCGTACAAGTATGATGTACGCATCCATTTGATGGCTTTCATCAGCTGGTCCAGGTCGACACTTTATTTCCGCCTGCTGGTCGTAAACCAACAATATGTTTATAATCGGACAGATCTGAAAATCTATTGAACAGGCAGGTAGTGTGCTTGACCTTTAAGCCAGTCGTAGGTCATGGGCTCTGTGCCAAGGACCTTCTGGCTGCCCTATGCGCCACCGTGTGGCATGTGCGTTGGTGTGGAGCTTGTGCGAGTGTGTGTGTGTGTGTGTGTGTGTGCCCTGCTACTCACCGACTAAAGTAAGAACTAGACTGACAGTGACGTAGGCAATCAGCACCACAATGAGGGAGCCAACAATGGCCTTCGGTATGCTCTTCTGTGGATTATGCGCCTCCTCGCCGGTGGTTGCGATAATATCGAAACCAATAAATGCATAGAAACATGTGGCCGCGCCAGAAAATACCTATGGATAGATATAATGGAATAATGGGTTGAGATTCTCGGCTTGGGGGCTGTGGGTGCCATGCCATGCCATTGTATACTTACGCCGCTCCAGCCGTAGGGAAGAAAACCCTGGTGCTCCGACCACGTTTTTGTGTCAATGTAGAAGAGGCCAGCAGCCATCACAAATACCCACACCGCAAGGTTAATGGCATTTAGGGAATGATTAAAAATAACAGATTTACTGGCGCCCATCGCCAATATGCAGGTCATGATGAGCGTTATGCCAAACGCTATGAAGTCGGGTGGTTTGCCTGCAATAAAGTGGAAGGAAGCAAGACCAGTTGATGACAATGTTCTAAAAATATTAATGCGACACTCTCGAAGGCGGGGGCACAATCCCTTTATAATGCAGGGGTGCCGGGGCAGGATACATCTACTTGAAACTCACCAAATATTGTACCGATGGAATCGCTCATCCACCGCGCAATCGCGTTGCCAGTTAACGAATCAAAACTTGAACTTAACGCACAGGCACAGGCACTTGTTCCTGAAACGATCCGAGCAATTCAATAGATGTCATCAATATTAATATATACAGTCTAGCTAGATGAGCTGGAGAATAAAATAAAAGCCCTATTCCGCAAGTTCTCCTGAAGAATCTAACACAACTATGTTGATTGGATAGATGGGTATAGACTAATTTTAAAGCAACCTATAAGACAATGGAGTATTATATTAATTAAAAAATAATAATATAAATACTAATTTAATACACAATGTGGCTTAAATAGACAACAATAAAATGCATTAAATGCTGATTTCAAAATACTTTTTATACCTAGACCAACATTGGAGTTAGGTGCATATTTTTTTTAACGAAATTCCACCTAATTTGTTATTTTAATCAAAGCCTACACTAATTAATGAACTAAAAATTTAATACACAATGTTGTTTATATAGGCAACAAGAAAATGCTTTAAATGCTGATTTACAAATATTTTTTACACCCACTCCCCCCTCGGTAGTAGGTGCACATTTTTTAAACAAAATTTAATTTATTATTGCCTAGTTCCTATTTTAGTCACAGCCTACACTAATTACTGCACTAAAAATGGTGCTTGATTGTGGAAAAAAGTCCTTTGATAGCGAGAACAAAAAATTTGTAAATAAGCTTTTAATATAATTAGTGTCATAAACATTTTATGAGTAATTCGAATAAGTTATTCTCATAATTACAAACCCACGCCTTAAGCACTGGTTTTGTTGATTCTTAAATTCTGAATATTTTAGAAAATGTTGGTTTTTTTTTTTTTGTTAGTTTATTTCTTACCTATTAGATATTCCAATATCATGTTCCAACCAATTATAAAAGCTACAAATTCTCCAACTGCCACATATGAATACATATAGGCCGAGCCGGATGTGTGTGGCACACGAACGCCAAATTCTGCATAGCACGCGCCTGGAATCCGAAACGAACAGATGCACTATAGAGGGCTTATCCTTTGACTGGTGATCGGAGATGGAATGCTTACCTGAGAAAATACTCGCGATCGCGGCTATAATAAAACTTATAATCACACCGGGTCCCGCTATCTTCTGGGCCACCATTCCAGCTACCAGGTACATGCCAGTTCCGCAGCACGAGCCAATGCCCAACGATGTTAGATCGAGCGTGTTGAGACATTTCTGCAAAGGAATTACGTTTTTTGTACAATTAGGAGACAGTCGGAGAATGCCAAATCCCTGATGATATTATTATAAATTGTGTATAAATGACGGCTTGATTGCCCACAACTAGCTGGAAGGACAAAGTTCAGTTTCCGAAAATTGAATTATTTCAAATCGGGTAAGAAAACAAAATTAGAGTATAAAGATAACTGCATTGGTTATACGTTGAAGTTGTTTGTTGTTATTATAAATTATTCTTATTGGTAGCAGAATACTGGTTTGAAAAATAATAAATAAATTTTTGTATAAAAAAGAATCATCATAATTGGGTCACCCAGTCAAAAGTTCTGAGGTAACAAACATAAAGAGAATACAGTCGAATTGAGAACCTCATTTTTTTTCGAAGTCGACTTAAAAATATATACGAGTTTATATCTGAAAAGGCGTACCAAGTAATAAATATATGTACATAATTAATATACTGTTTACATTTCAAATGCCACAACTTCTTTGATCATTCCAAGCAATTCGAAACAATATATTAATCCACGGAGTGGAAATGAAACACAGTTTAAAAAAAGACAAGCATACTTTAAGGGGAAATTTCTGGAACAGATAACCGTCCACTGGAACGAGTGGGAAAATGAGTTTAAGATGGCAGTTGGGAAGCAGTCGGTGGACAATTAACTTTAGAAAAGATTACCTTTTAAATTAAAATGCAAAGTATTCGCAAAATATTTGTGTTTTTTTTTTATTTTTAACTCTTACAGAATTTTTTAAAACTGCAAGTGCTTTTTAAAATCATGCTTTTTGCAATGATGGTAGTGCTGAGATTGGAACCGAGTCATATACTCAGGAACGATCTCACATTGTGGGATTCCTGTCAGGCGCCGAAAAATATTTGTGATTCAAATTGTTCATTCATTTTTCCAATGAAATGCGAATCATCTAAAAACAAATATATACATAATAGATAAAGTGTATGAAAAATAAATGAGGTTGAAAAACATTAATTACTTTTATTGACTGCCAGGCAAATTTGAAATTATGAAGTTCTCAGAAATAGCTGCTTCATAAATATGAAAAAAGTATAGTTGCAATATTTCACATTAAATCGTGCAATAAAATTTATTTAGTGAAGTGCAAAGCTAGACACAAAAAAAGTCACGCCCTACGGAAATAGAACCATCAACAGCTTCTTGTTACAATTCCTTTAATTATTTACAGATAGTGACGTCAAAAGATTAGATAGAAATCGCTTCTTCTATCTATCTATCACCACAGAATTGAAATGAGCTGAGGTTTTTGTATGGGGGAGGGGGTAGGGCGTTTGACTTGATTGGTTTATTTTAACTCATAATCGTAAGTGGTTAATAAATCGATATAGTGGACCGGTTGTGGCTGCGCTTATGACTTTGTATTTATAGATTTGATATGGAATATTGCTTACCGTTAGCTTGGGCTTTGTGGGCTGCGCATTGCCATCCTGCAGCTGCTTGACATCCTTCGTGCGTATGAGCTTTGGCAGCAGAGTTGTCGAGCTGACGCCGTGCGGCAGTGGCACCCTGAACTTGACCTGCAAGCGAAATGGAAATGTATTTTAATTGGGAAACTGTGCGCAACAATACCGGCTCCAGTGTGAATGTGTTCGAGCAAGTGTGTTTCAGCGCCAAATGAACTGAAAGGAGCGATGTTTGCAAATGAAATACGGCCATATTGTGTGGGTGTGTGAATGTGTGTGTGGGTGCGTGGGTGCCTTGGCATCAAGTATTCGCATTCGCATCCGCATCCGCATCCTCAGGCACTGCGTATTGTGCCTCACTCTATCCTATCTGTGGCGTTGTCATAAATTTCACTGTCGCAGCAGGCAGAACTTATTAAAAGTCGAGTGTACTCAACGCCACTTGCCAGCGTTCATTTTTCTTTAAAAAAAAAGAAAAGGAAAAATTCTCAAAAAGGAAAATATCACAAAGCATTTGCTCATCAGGCACATTTTCCTCATTCCTCATCCTCCACACGCAGCTCACTGCACCACTGAGCAATCGATATTTGCAACAAGTTTTGGGCGTACACGTACACACAACCTGCTGCCCAAGAGCCCCCGGGCCGAGGCAGTCAAATGCCAGGCAGAAGCATTGGACCGATGCGGTGCTTGATATCTGAACAATACACGGTTGGGTAGAACGAAGGCGGAGTGAAAGTACTTCAGACGTGCCAGGGAAGAGAAGCACCTTATTTGAAGCGCCTCGCAAAGATCTAATGTTCTACATCGCCACGAATACCAATCCAAAATTTCCTTATATTTGAATTTTGAAATTAAATGTAAAAAATGGACTAATATGTAAAATTCTAAAAGTGCCACCAAATCCATGTTTTCAGATGCCAGAATATATCGTATGTTATATTATAGTTGCCTTATACCATACATATTTTTAATATGTATTTTTGTTAATGCAGTTCTTAAGAGCATTTAATGTTGAGGTTTATTCGTTTCTCAACTAATTTGTTGAATCTCAAAAGCATGCCATTCTGCAAATAAAACCAATAGATACCACAGCAAACTTTTTCATAGTCTACTCGCAAATTATTTGGTCAGATTTGCGCACAAATCCATCGAATTTCTTAAGTTTGTCGCAAATGCAGTGATACTTAAAAAAAAAAAAAAAATAACCCAAGTTAAAAACCTTCTTGGGGATTTAATTTTGAGGCTCTACTTGCAGAATAAGGAAATTATGTCTCCAAATTATTTGAATGTCTGACCATGACTGGGAATTTAGCTCAATCCTTTCTGATTTTGGAAATTATTGAGCGAATCGCAGAGAAGGTTTTTCCGCTTTCCACTATAAGACAGCGAGTTGAATTTTATCATAGAAAGCAGAAATTGTATTTACTTTTCATTTTGAAAAAATAATAAAGACATAGTAATAACAAATAATTTGTCAGTTTAACGAAGAAAATAGCATTAAGGATACGTATGGCTTAGGCATGGTAGGAAATTAAGTCACTTATGACAGCAACCGCTATCAGCTATACCCCAAACCCCCTCCAAGCGCAAAACTATTTAATACATAAGTCTCTAAAGAGTTCTTTGTAGGAAGAGTAATACCATTACTAGAACGCTTTAGCAATTTAAATGTTGAATGCCAATGCCTGTAATACAATCAAGGATTTTATATTGGCTGCATACTTATAAAATATTTAATGAAAGCATCATCAAATCCTAAAAACCCATTTGCTTTGAGTCGCTGTTCAATATAAGAGCAATATGAGAGCAGCAAGTTTGGTGGCATTTGTGGTTCAAAGGAACGCTGTTCCACAAATAGATCTCAGCATCGTTCTGCTGTTCAAAAATAGACTTCTGCACAATACTTGCCAAAGTTTGGACCTTGGTCAACTGTCGTAGATTTGTCATGTGGCCCTCGTTAGCGGCAATGCGCAGGAAGTGTGGCGTGACTGCGAAAGAGCTAGTAAGGCTGTAGTGGGCCACAAGCTGCCTCCGCTAGTACCGGCAACAAATGTGTGGCACACCCACATGCACCCAGAGATACGCCCGAACGCAAACACGCACCCACACACACTTACGCCACCACCAAAAGAGTTGCATGTACGACTACAAGTACATACGGACTTCGAGTGCAACAAGCGTATACGGGTATGTATGTATGTAAGGCTTCGAGCGTGGGACCCAATCTCGGCCAACAAGTTGCATGCGGCGGTGACATTTGTCGTCGTTTAGTCAGTTGACGTTGACGTTGACTTTGTTAAAGAGCTGCGGGGCAGCGGGATAGTGGGGTGACGTGGAAGGAGAAAGCATGCGTCGTAAACGATTCGAAACGACCAGAAAATGGAAAAGATGGCGCGAAAGGTCACAATGCTAACGGACTAACGGGCTAACGGGCTGACTCTGACGCTGTGGCTGAAGCTGTGTCTGACGCTGAGTCTGAGACTGACAGCAGATGAGCATTCGTAAGCGCTTTGAAGAGCAATTCCAAACCTACATGTTAATAGCAAATGGTCAAATCAAATGGGTTTTATTTTTAATTGCCGCTAGTCTCTTCAGCTGGAAATCTCCTTGTTTTATTTTTGAAGAGAGTCGAACATTTGTCTTTTTACTGATTGGCTCAATTTTGTGACTGAAAAATGTCTACATATCCTACTTTTTTCTTTATTTCAATTGAGAGAGATGACATCAATTCGAAAACTTTAATGAACAGAACTATGTTACGCTAACGTTAATGTTGTCTTATGTATTTAGTTGGTGTTGCTGGTTTATAATTGATACCCAACTATAATAGTAACCAGGATGTCTGCTTATCTATTTCGCAGAGTTCCCGCTGTTCACTTATTAGCACAAACAATGAACACAAACCAGTTGTGGATTAGACTAGGATTAGTTAAAGCAAAAATATATTGCAGTTTAGAGTTAACCAAAACGAAATACATTGTCTCCCATAGTTCATTACGTAGACCCAGTATTTATAAATATTTCAAATACTATTGAGCTGAAAGAACTGATTAGATATAGATATATCAAATTTTCTGTGGAATATCCATAACTAGTCTGGTTCCACAAATTGTGAAACGATATAAACGACTGTCTAGCTGAGTTTAAAAGTTTCCTTTGGCATATCTTTAATTGAATTTAAATTTGTTTTGATTATCAGTAATTATTGATTATTGACCATTGATTTGTATTATTCGAGTATTTTTTAACCACGAATTTTCAAATTAAGAAGAAGGCTACCCTTTGCACAATCAGAATGCAGAATCTCACTAAAAATTTGCTTGATAAACGAATTCTCAATTTATAAGCATAATACATTTACTTGTATTGTCTAGTTTATAAACATACGAAACCTATGCTCATGTCCAGAGCACAAAAGCCTACCAGAACAATATAAGTATATTGCAGCCCAATAAAATGTGATGTTTCAATTACTGCTCCTTCCACATTAATAAGATAATAAGCTTCATATTACTGATGTTCCGAAATCGATCAGAAAACCTTTTCGTTTATTAATATTTTAAAGGCAATGATGTTGCGTCATTTGTAGGTCACGAAATAAGCAAACCAGAATACTGCTTTCAAATGGATAATGAGTTTGAAGGGACAGTGCGGCGTTTATTGACAGTTTTCAATAAAAAAGATTGTTAACGAATAATATCGGGTATAATATATAGAAACCTTCCCAACTACATTTTGAATTCACTCTGCACTGCCGCAAATTGTATTTTTTGTCCCATCACTGCACTGAATACTAGCGACTTTTTATTATTGATAAACCACTCGTAAGTGGTTTATTTGTTTTCACAAAGGAATTGAAAACTACTGGAGTGCATAAAATATTTACATATACATACATATGCAGTCAGTCTTGCGCCTAATGGTATGCAACTGTTATGGGCAAGCGACCAATTGGGCGTATGAGCAATGCTGACCACAAGCAATGAAAACATTTACAGCACTTGAATTACCGAGAACTATACCTTTGCTATTAAAGTAACCCAGTTCTGGCATTCTACATGTTCCTCTACTCCACCTAGCGTGCTGTGGACCAAGCAATAGACCGACTGACTGACTAACTAACTGACTAACTGACTGCATTGTTGTTCCTTTGTTTGCTAGTCAGCCTATATAGAATAACTTAACAAATTGTATTTGTTGGACTGTTTAGGTGCTTTGGGGACTCTGTGTGGACTGTAAAGGGCCAGCCAAAGCATTGCTGTTTGCTGCAAAAGGCGAAATCAGCAGCATTAAAGATAACGTACATACACCCACACACGCACACCCTCACACACACACACACACACACACATGCTTCCTGCTAACCAACCACCATGTTCGCTTTCTCCCTGAACCTGAATACAGCTCGCCCCCTTCCACCACCCAACGCCCAACGCCAAACGCCCACCATCCAACATTCCCCATTTCCCACCACAAGCTCAAGCACAAGCATCACCCATTTTTACCCACAAAGTTTTTGTTTTTACGCTTCGGTATAGCTCGTATTTTGTTAAGCGCGTTCGTTCCTGTCCTTCTCTCGTTGTCGGTGCTGTTATGTTATTGTTGTTGTTGTTTGTGGTGGTGTTGCTGTTGCTGTTTCTGTTATTGTTGCTTTTGTGTGTGGTTGTTGTTCTTACTGCTGCCGTTGCTGTTGCTGTTGCTATTTTTCGCGCTTTGTTGCTGTGGCGCTTGCCACGTCTATAGGGCTCCCAGCTTACTTAGCCACTGTCTGCGACTGTATGGGTTTTGTGCTGTGCGTGTGTCTGTATGCGTGAATACATGTATATGTATGTATATGTATGTTGTGTGTGTGTTTGTAGTGCTGCAAACGCCTCTGCCAAATGGATTTGCATAAGTTCACATACATGTGGATATGTAAATATGTATGTGTCTCTGTGTGTGTGTGTGTGTGTGTGTGTGTCGGTGCTGGCATTTGTCGATGTATGTTTGTGTGTGTGTTGCGTCGGCGTTGAGTATTAAAGCGAGCTGTGCTCATAATGACCTTTTACACAGCCAGGCATTATAGCCAAGTCGCTTGGGCAATGCTTGCATTTGTACAATGGACATTAAAACATTCCTTCACAAACAAACACACACACACTCACACACACACCCACACACACACGCAATCTACGAGCCCGCTATATAGACTATGTATATGTATATAGTTGTATGACCGGCTTTATAGAGCACAATTTATTACATTGTCCTCACAAATGTCTATTTACAGTTAGGCACAACCTCAGCTCAACTCAACTCAACTCAACTCAACTCATTCCTATTCGCATATCTAAGAAATATATTCATCAACATCAGCATTAACTACAAGGTTGTGTTTAGTGGAGTGTGTCCATGACTGAGTGCGTATGTGTGCGTATGTGTGTGTGTTTGTGTGAGTGTGCAGTAGAAGTTGTTTTTACTTTACCTTTTCCAGTACCAACAAAAGATCCGATGGTTTCATTTTAAATCACTAGAAATAGGCACAGGCACACAAAAACAAAAAAAATTAAACACTTCAACAATCGAACCGAAAGTCGAAAACACTTTTCAATAGCAATCTACAAAATATTCCACGCAAAATGTTGTCTATTATTAATTTTGCGTTATCTGTTTATTGTTGCTATTGCTATTGTTGCTATTGTTATTGCTGTCGCTTCTGCTGCTGCTGCTGCTGCTGTTGCTGTTGCTGCTGACACTTAACAATTTGTAATGCTGATGACTTCCTTCTGCTTCAACTTAAGCCCAAATGTGCGTGAGTGAGGATGCGTGGGTGTTAATGGCGGCGCAGACTTGTTGTTGTTGTTGCTGTTGTTGTTATTATTGCTGTTACTGTTGCTGTTACTGTTGCTTTATATTTTACATTGATTTTTGTCTGCAACGTCATTCTATATTCAACAGTTTTTTGAGGCTAGCACAGTTCGGTTTTTTTTTTTCGTTTTTTTCTTTTGTTTTTTGGTTTTTCCTTTCTTGGCTCTCTTTTTGGCTACGTTGCGGCCTTGCCTTTATGCTTCTGTCTCTGTGTGTATTTATGTGTGTGTGTGTGTGTGTGTGTGTGTGTATGTATGTATGTGTGTGTGTGTGTGTTTGTGTGTGTGTGCGCGTGTTTAAAGCATTTGGCTTCTTTTGCAATGTTAAACAATTGATAATGTACACATTTCACATTCACTTTTACTTTCACTTTTTGCTGCTCTGCTGGCTGGGTGCCTCGCAATGGCTATCGTGGAGCTTCTGCTTCTACTTCTGCCTCCGCCTCTGCCTTTGCCGCTGTCCCGCTCACGCTACCACACACGTCACGCGCATTAGAAAAGGAAGAAGCGCTGCTGCTTCTGCTGCTGCTTCACGGCTGCTTCGCTGCCTCCGTGCCAGAGCGCCACTGTCACTTTCTCTACTTTATACCACCTTTTGGCCACTTGCCTTTGCCTTTGCCTTTAGCCGTGGCTGTTGCCGTTGCCGTTGTCGTTGCCTTTGGTGTTGGCCTTTTGGTGTTTTAATGTGTGTGTGTGTTTGTGTGTGTGTGTGTGTTTAGTTGTTGTTATTGTCGTTGTTGTCTATGGCGTTTTGGGGCTTTGGATCTCACGTGGCCCCCACACACTCGCGCGCGCACACACACACATACCACATCATACCACACTCCACAATCGACAATTCATGCACCACACCACACCACACCACTACAAACACTTTGCAACTTTGTATTCAATTTATTTTGCCTTCAAAAAACCGTCGTTGCCCAAAAACCGTAAAGGCAGCATACAAAATTGTTTTAAAAAAATTGAACAAAAATTAAGCACTTTCACCGAGTCGGAGGAAAAGGAATCGAACGTTGCCAGTGGAGCGTGCGCGACGACGTGCGCTTAACGATGATGGCTTCTGATTCAGATTCAGTTTCAATTTGGCGAGCAGCGACAGCTTCGCTTCAGTATTCAGTAATGAATGGTTGCAATTTTTCCGTGTGTATAACTTTTTTCTTTTTTTTACGTTTTTTTTTTTTTGGGAGCAAAAGTGCTTTTTACTCCTCTTCTGCTGCGCTGCTGCTGCTACTGTAGCTGCTTCTTCTTCTGCTTTTGGCGTTTCAACTCAAAAAGCACGAAAAAGCTTTCAGCGCCCTTACAGCTTCAGTAACGGGAAACCTACATACATACATACATACACACACACACACACACATACTTACGTGAGAGGCCGCCATGCGTGAGAGAGCGGGCGAGCTCAATTGCTGAGCGAAGTTTGGTGCATGTCCTTCTCAAGAGCCGCTTACTTCATACATAAAAGTACATATGAAATGCGATTCTTAAAAATAAATAAATAAAAATTGTTGCCAGGATAAAGTAACCTGTCAATGCCATGAGATATGCTGCAGGGCGTTTGAAAATTGCAGACCTCGGTGCAATAGGAGTTAGATTTTTAATGGATTCTGTTGAACAGCTGCTCCCAAAAACTCCAAGCATAAATCAGTTTCCTTATTTGTAGTAAGGAATTCAACCCGAAGACTGATCTACATTTCATTATCAGAATGTCCACTTAACTAGTTTGGTTCCAACAAATAAAACATTTTCAACTAGACATTAAAAACTAAAACTATCAAACAGATAATACAAAATTACATTTTAAAATCAAGAATTTGGAAGTGCAACTTGGTTGATAGATTTATGTATAAATCCTGAATATTTGAAAGCAAAAACGTGCTAGATGAGTCGTGCAATTCCAATAAATGACTGAAAATTACAAATATAATATATTTCGCTATTTCATTTGCATAAATAATTTAAAAATAGTTTGCGAAAAAACAACAGTTGGCTGCACAAAGTTTTTATTTGTAGCAGTTTTTTTTTTTTGGGTTAATGCAGCTTGTTACAGATACTCCATTAAATTTTAATTATGAGCGATTTCTTTACGAGTTCTATTCTGCACTTTTATAATTCTATGTGTGCACTTTTCATAATCATCCAACAACGAATCAATTACAAATCTGTTTAAGTTCCTGGAATTTAAGTCCATTTTATACATAATTTTTACAGTTGTTGTTAGAAAACAACAACATTACATTGCCATGGATTTAAATTTGTAGTAGTTTTTTTTTGCCAAGCAGCTTCTTACAGATGCTCATCAACTTGTAATTTTAAGCGTTTTTTTCGTAATTATCCATCAATGAATTAATAACAACAAATCAGTTTTTGTTTAAAAAAAAGAACAACAGTTGCCTTCACAAGATTTTAATTTGTTGCAGTTTGTTTTGTTTTTAAGCAGCTTGTTACAGATACTACATGAAATTCCGTTGTTTGTTATTTCCTTAGAAATTTATTATATGTATTTTTTTTCAAATTATCCGTCAACAAACGTATCAATTACAAATCGGCATCAGTTCCTGGATTATATCAAAATCTACTTTGAACATCATTATTACAGTTTTTGTTCGAAAAAAAAAAAAACAACAGTTACCTGCATAAGATTTTAATTTGTAGCAGTTCTTTTAAGACCAGCTTTTTGCAGCTACTCCATTAATTTGTTATATTTAGCGATTTTTTTTTATAAATTCTAGTATACTCGTATGTGTGCACTTTTCAAAATCATCCATCAACGAATTAATAACAAATCTGAATCAGTTCCTGGAATTTCAAGCATATTTAAGTCTATTTTAAACATAATTATTGTAGTTGTTGGCGGGTGGCAACGCCAACACCCGCACACGAGTTGTCCAGCAATAGTGCCCGACAGCCGTAGGGCGGCAAGAGTAAGAGCAACAACAGCAACAATAACAACACCAACACCAACAAACCCAATAACCCACACACAACATGCGCTTTAGTATCTATAACAGAGCACCATTTGCCAGCAAGCATGACAAACGCACACACACCCACACCCACACAAACACACACACACACACACACAACCACACACACACATACGCAGACAGATAGACAGAGACACACTCACATAGGCACACATGTCGGGCTGGAGCGGCGAAAAACTTACAGCAACGCTCGAAAGTAGGCAACAGAATGTGAAAATCACGTTTATTGGCAGCGCGCAGACGCGCGAGCGAGAACTTTCGCTGCCCGCTCCACCGTGCTCAACTTTTGCCATCAACTCTCCCACGAATACGCACACTTTCGCTTTCTCAATGGTTTTTTGTTTAACACCCTTAGGGCTCTGTCGCAAACACACACCCACATGCACACCACCTATGACATACTACTTGTATACTAAGTATATGTACGAGTATGTACATATGCATATATTACGTGTGCATATGTATATTCATGGCAGTTGTTGGGCTCTAAAATGAAGTGGGCACCCGGTTTGTTTGTGGTAGGGCTCGGGGAGCTTTTGAGTTTTTATTTTTGCACACCTGTTATCACATGTTGATTTTATGGCAGGTGTGCTCCACTCACTCGAACTGTTGGTGCTTCGTACTGTTCGCACAGCTTTGTTGTCATGGCACACTCAATCAGTAATTGGATGTGTTTCAAAAGCGAAAAAATGGAATTTCATTTTCAATATAGCTATTACCTGAGATTATTTCAAACTAGTCGATTATTTAATTTTATTCAAGCACTCATACTACAATCTATTATTGAAACGACTCAAAACAACTTAAATCAAGATCAATTTTCAAAATTTTATGTTAAAATGGATAACTGATGTGTGAGACTTGATACTATCGGACTATAATAAAAATTTTTCCTGCGAGGGAAGTGGATGATGCAGAGAAAACTTAACCTTTCCCGGACCTAGAAACCAAGTTCCAAGATCCGTTCGTTCATACAGACAGACGGGGACGTCAGGAAAGACTTGTGTATCATGCCTCCTACGGGCACGCCTTCTTTTCTGAGCACACTGATTGCAAATGGCAACATTTTCGTATAAATAAGACTGAGTTGCAACATGTCTTATGAACCTGTTCGACTCCTACGTTGCGTTACGGCAGTTGTCATCTTATTGTATTTAATAAAATCTTTTTGAAGTGATAGTCTGGTCACATATTAGTACTAGTCAGCCCGTCTGTCTGAATGAACGGCTGGATATCGGAAACAGCTGAGCAAACAGTTCACCAAACTTGGTATGTAAACTCTCCTAGTCCCTAGATAATACACGCTTTTTTTTACTCCCCCCATAGAATTTTATCAATTTTGTCCACAATTCATAAGCTACATAAACTTAACGTTGCATACATAATACACGTATATTTCTGTACTTTTGCCTAAACAATATAAGTTTTGTCTGAGCTTTAAAGTGTTTAATAGCCATGCCATTCTATATGCGAAATTTCAGATCGAATACGTAACCGAACTATGTAAAGCTTTATTTAACTCAACCATTTGATCAAAATCAGTTTAAATCTAAAAAAAAAGGTAAATTCATTTATAAAAATTTCAAATACATTCGCTTTTCAAATTTAAGAGATTTTTTTTCTAGCCTTCTTTCAGTAAGCAATTCCATTTCGGTATGTCATTGAAAACAAATATATATTATTAGCTCCTTTTCATGAACAGAATTATTGATTATTTAATTTTGCTTCCTTTTCTCTCTCTCTTAAGTCCAAAACTATTCTTCCAATTATCCCAAAATTGTTGCAAATACCATCTGCTTACTGTAGTAGCTATATAAAATGACTAATGTATTAACAATCTGACTTGATCAGAGAATTAATCATTTTAATTACGGATTCTCTGGACCAATAGTCTCCAATATTAGGGCCTGAAGATACCATCTTATGAATAAAAAGAAAGTTTTTGGGAATATTTTAAAAAATAATAAAAACGTTTTCTATTCTCAAAATGGATTGGCAGGTAAAGTCAAAGTTTGCAAATAAAGCAGTTCCTTTTTCCACGGAATTCTATGTGAGCAATTCATCAGAAAAGACAGACTAAGATCGTAATTCGTTTTTATTTTAAAGATTGCAAACAACAACA